AAGTATTTCGTTTTAAATTATTTTGAACTATATTTATATCTAATCTTTTAAAATCTATTGATATATATAGATTTATGAAGTTTTTATATTCATTTAAATTTGATTTTTAATAATTATTAATATATAAAGATTTAAAAAATTTCTATATTTACTTAATTTTGATTTCCAGTATTCAATAATTAATGAAGAATATATTATATTTATTTTATTCTATTTTATTACTTCGATCAGTTTTTTTGTCAAAAAGATTCAAATATTTCATTACAACAAATATATCTTAAAGCTATGTTTATAATTAAAATTATATTTATATATAAAGATGGTAAATATCTTAACCAAAATTAATGTTTATTTATAATCAGTCTTTACATCAGTTTTTGTTTTCCAAATTATTTATTTTTAAATATTCATAAATGATATCAAATAATTTAAAAAACTTGATTTGAATATTTCAGATATAATAAAGATATATTACAAATCTTTTTATATTATTATATTATTTTTTTCTTTTGAATTATTCTAAATTGAAAGAATAATCCTAATTATTACTGGAATAGAATTTGCTATTTTAGAGTATATACCTCAATTTCAATTTCCAAAAAAATTCTTATAAATCATTGTAAAGATATTATCTATAATTCTTTTTCTAAGTTCTCAGATGAATTTATAAATATAAAGTTGATGTAGAAATCTATAATATTAGAAATGTAGTTGAGTTTATAATCTTTTAATCCGGCCTTTGTATTAATAACATTTTTGTCGATATCTGTATATTGAATGTAATAAAGTTCGTAGGCCAAAAATCGATATTAAATGTAAATATTGAGAATATTTGGTTACAATATAAACCAATATAAAATTATTTTTATAATTCATCAAATAATTGTATAAACAAAAAGATTTTAAGAATAAGCAAAAACATTATTTTGTTTTAATTTTCTATTTTTATATAAAAACATTCAGTATCTTCTTTATGTCTTTATAATTATAATCTATAATGAATCAATTATAATTATTTTGTTAATTTATTCTTTTAACAAAAAATTTAATTATTTTATATTATAAAGATAACTAATAAGATTGATGAAAAGAAATTGTAGATTATTAGTTTTCATTTTAAAAAGATTCTTTTCAAAATAAGTAGAAATATTAGTTTTGATAAGATTATATTTCTGTAGGATAATAATAAAAATCCTATTCATGATTTGAATAATTTTCTTATTATCGATTTTATAAAACTATAAGATTTTTTTATGCTTTTTATATTTAAATGGATCCTTATAAAAAAAGGTTTTCGATATTTGATATAATTATTTATATTGAATAAATAACAAATAATTTCAAATATAATATATATATTATATAAAGCTAAACTTTGAAAAACTTTGTAAATGAATAATATAATAATTACAAATGAAAGAATAAACTTTAAATATTATATTAATATAACAAAATAGAGAAAAGTCTATTTCTATATATAAATATATTTTATATATAAATATATTTTATATATAAATATATTTTATATATAAAAAGAATATACAACTTTATTCAAAATTTTAATATAATAATATTATAATATTGTTTTTTGTTTTTGTTATTAATATCTATTTTTAAGATCAAAATTTATAAAAACTTATATAATAATCTTATAACAAAATTTTTTCGATATAAAAGTTTACTTTATTTAATTTATTTAATATTATTATTGATCTTATCTAATTTGATAAGATTTTTTCCAAATCATCTATTTCTATTACATCATTAATTGTATAGATATTTAGATTGTGAAGCTTACTAATATAGATTATTGATAATAAAATTGTATTTTTAATATAAATGATATTTTGCTGGTAGTTTGATCGATTAATTATTAATTATTATTCAATTTATTGATAATACTATAAGATTCAATCGAATATCTAACTTTCTTATATATATTATATTGTAAATTCGTTATTCAAATTATATATTAATCTATAACAAAAAGGTGTTTCTAGAATTCTAACAAAATTCGAAAACCAAATCATTACAATAATATATTCTGAATTTGGAAATGGGTCTTTATTGTTTTGAAATATCTGTTGGTTAAATAGAATATTATTTTTTTTACATTATTTTTATTATTTTTATATCAATCTATAATTATACAGAACGATAAGAATCTTAAATATTTTTATATTTAGAAAAAATACAATTAATCTTTTATATTAAATAAATAATAGGAATAATAAATATAGGATTTTTAGAAATATTAGAAAAGGAATATAAATCTTATTCATTTATTGAATCAAAAGGATTATGTTTTTCTTTTTATTTATATCTTTTTTTATATAAAGAAATATATCGCCTTTGTATTATCAATTAATCTTAAATAAAACTAAAATATCTTCTCTTTTCAGTATCTCTTTTTTCTAATTCTTTCTTATATATTCTATTATTTCTTTCCAATATAAAATAAAGAAACCAGTATTTAAACAGCATCAATAATATTATAATTATAAATATAATATAAAAAGAAATTCTAATTATAAGAAAACAAATAAAAATTGATTCTTTATATTATAAAAGTAATAAATCAAGACATATATATTCTAATAACATATTATTTATGGAAAAACAAGATTTATAATAATTTTAAAATTAAAATTATATAATTTTAGATATATATATATAGAAAATTGATTATTTTTCAAAAGAAAAACAAAACTTTCTTTTTATATCTAATTATAAAAATTATTTAATTATTTAACTAAAACCTTTATATATATAATCTATAATTTTAGTTTTTTATAATATAAATTTGTTTGAATTATATATATAAAGTATTAATCTGTTGAAATATGATCAAAATAAATAAATAATATTTATATATACTTTTTAAAAATATCTTTCTTTAAAGATTTTATTTAGAATTAAAAATTTTCCCTTATACTTCTTTACTTATTTGCTTTTAAATCTATCTAATATCTTTATTGTCGGCTTGCCGACACTATAACCTTGCTGTATGCGAGGTTTACCCGGTGTAGGTCGTAGAAAATGAGGTTCGCTTAAGGTTGCGATATGATTGGTCGAGAAATGAGTCGCGATCCTGACAATCTGATTGGTCTAAAATACCGGTAAAAAATCTAAAAAAAGCTTGGCATAAGCCTTACAACCTGAGGCAAATCTGACTTAGAACTTTTTTCAATTCAACTCATTCAATTCATCTTATTCAATTCAAAATAATAATAATAATAATAATAATAATAATAATAATAATAATAATAATAATAATAATAATATAAATAATATAAAATCTTGTTATTATTATTTTAATATTGAGAATAATAATATTAAATAATAATATAATAATATTAAATAATATTGTTATAAATATTATTATTATTATAAATAATAGTATTAAATCATATTATAATTATTATTTTTGAATAAAATAATTTGATTTTCAATTATTAAAAACAAGCTGATATTCTGTCTGCACCCTGATATATATTTAATATTGAATTTATTATAAATTTTTAAACCTTAAATTTTCATTAAACTGTCTCGAAAGCCTAGGGTCCGGAGGGCGCAGGCCCTGGTTATTAATTGTTTTATATTCTCGAATTATAATAATAATGATATTATTATTTTATTATTATTAATATATATTATATTCTACAATTTGTATATTATTCTATATTACTTTATTAAATATCTTTATATAATAAAATCAATTATATTTTATAAACTTTATTATATTTGGGTTTCTAATTAAACAAATTAAATAAAATATTTTTAATTCATTAATCAAAATATAACTTGTAAAATCTTTTTTCTTAATATATAATTATAATTAATAATATAAAGAATTAAAATATATATATTATAAAATAATATTTATTAGAATTTATTTACTATTATAATATTTATTAAATATTTTATATAAAAATAAAATTTATATAAAAATTCTTTTATTTGAAATTCTTTTATTATTCTAAACATTTTAAAATTTATTCATGATATATCATTTAAATATATAATAAAATCTTTACAAAAACTTATAATTTTATATGAAATCAACTACACCCAGCCTCAACCATTTTACAAAATTAAAACAATTTTAATTATTATAAAAGTATAATTGAAATGAAAAAATTGGATTACTTCGAGTTGAATATATAATAAAAATTATTTGATTATTTTTGATATTTTCAAAATAATGTAATTGAGTTTGAAAATGACCATATGAAATTTTGATTTGATTTTGTGGTAAAATGAGGAAAATTTCAAAATCTAAACTTTAAAGTTATACAACTTTATCAATTAATTATTAAAATTTATAAAAATCAAAATATAGAATCTTTGAATGAATCTTTTAAATTTATCAAAGGATTTCTTTAAAAATATTGAGTTCTTTTAATATTAATAGTGAAAAGAGTGAGTTTTGGTGTAAAAGAGCCTATGGCTAGTAGCAGTGCACGGTCACCGTAACATTATCTTCCTATACTTCACTATTAACTACCTACACTTTTATGATAAAATTGAGTTTTGGTTTGAGATGGCATCTGGCTGGGAGATGATATTTTCTTCTTGGGTAGTCATTATCAAATTAAGATACCCTGGTATTATTTCTAGGGACCGCCAATGTATTCATTCTCTCAAGGCTGTTAAAAATATTTTGATTATTATCCTTCGGGGGAACGTCTACAGTAGTCACTTGTGGACTGTGGTGAATAGGACAATGGATTAATGAACAGGTTCTGTATCCTAATTAGCATATACAAAACAATCATTCCTCATGATTCATCAAAAATATCCTACGAAAGTAAAACAAACCCATTATCCAGAACGTATTCGCTGGTTGCCCATCCTAATCTTCCAGAACTCCTCCATACATACCAAAGTATCATAACCACAACGCTAACTTATCAAATTTGCTTGACTTGAAAGCACAAGAATCTTCAGTCGCATCGACACACATCCCACTAATTATAAATTGACCCTACATTCCCCGATCAAAAGACATAGCTAGCTAAATCCCTAGTCTCATAATATTCCGCCATCGCTTCGTCCCTCTCTTCTCGTGAATACACATCCTCCTCTTCCGCAGATACTGTCCCGCTATCTGATATCAAAGAAGGTTCGGCATCATCCAATTCAAGATCCGAGATAGCATCTAAACATACCGACGGAGGAATAGGAGACTCAACCTCGAAGTAAGAATCTGAACTTGCACAGTCGCTAAGACTTGCGTAGCGTGAGACGTGCATTGAACAGTCCCCGTAGTTGCATACACTCGCTTGCTCTGAGTGTCGTTGGATTTCTTCAAATACATCGGTGTTGAAACCGGGGTGGCTATGGCAGAGGCTGGATAGCTGTCTATTCATCCCATCGAATCTTATTGAGAAGAGAAGGCTACGAACTTTTTCAACAATGAGATTTCGTAGATCATGTGCATTTGCTCGATTATGGTAGATATACTGGATTTCCGATGGTAGAGGCATCCAGTATCCAGTTCGTAGGGTATCCCTACAGTGGACATACTCCCACAGAGCTTTATGTGCCAAATCCATAACTCCCATTTCAACAGCTAGCACGTAGAGTATTACCCATTCCGAGATATGCGTAGCAGTGTCATAAGTTTCTGGATCACGACCAGGCATCGCATATACACATCCGTATATCCAGGTGAAAAATTGATTGAATGTATGAACTTCATCTTCGTATCGATAGATAATCTTTCGTTGACTTTGCTGGAAATCTCGAAATGAGGTTTCGATGGGTGATAGTTCGATGGCAGAAGCACTATACTCTTCGGTCTTTTGGTTGTGTAGCTGCGCGCGAAACCAGGGGGATTTTTCGCAGAGGAGACTCTCGTGGAAGAAAAATGGTCGTCCTTCTGGGCTGACAATTACTGTGACGATTCCGGAGCATGCATGTCTGGTATTCGTGTCAGGAATGATTTGTTGCAGGTGAAACTAAGATGTTAGGGGATCTTACTCGTGAATATATGAACTCATCATTTTCGTGAGATACAGTTCCGAGAGACTATAGATTTGTACTCGGGCGGTTTAATGGTAACAAGTGAGGTGAAAAGAAAAAACCACAGGGAATTTTTAAATATCTCAAAGGTAATTCAGATTTATCTTCTTGGGTGGCTGTCAAGTACATCTCCACGAATCTAGCTCAACTTGCCTGGCTTCTACGGATACTTCTGCACTTGCAAACGCCCAGCCTCATATTCAAAAGTCCCGGGCCTCAAAGTGATATTCAAGGTGTATCATTCAAGATTCTCTTCCCTTCCCTCTCAAAACTTGTCAGCTACAGTTTTCTTGTAGGAATATTGTTGATTACTATTCATCCAGAGTAATTCAAGGTAAAGAATATCAGCTCAAAAATACGGGAAAGTAGGACAAACTGAATAAAGCAAATGCGGGCGGAGGATCATCAATGCAGTTTTCCATCTTGCAGGATTTTCTCCGTCCGCATATGAACCGTCTGCATATAAACCGTATAAGATGTTTGAAATTGATCCTATTGTTCGTGCTCGGTGAAGGTTGGGGTAGCACCGAGCTGAGACACTACCCAAAATAGTGCATCCATCTGCCACCCCTTCCCTGCCGAGACTTATTTTTGCGGGGAAACACGGATTATGGCGGCTAGATCGTCACCACCATGAATTAAACACTAATTGACGACATCTAGAAATTCAAATAAAATGTGAGTTGTGATATCGTGAGTTTCTGTGCAACGGTTTATGTCATAGTTTGGAAACCTACAGACCTAGTTCTTCACGGAGCGGAAGGCGCTTTAGCTCTTGAATCTAGAATCTTATCGATTGGACTATCGATGTAAGAATCAGAACTATTATGCAAACGAAAAGAGCATAATAGTGTCTACTTGGAATTCTGGGGACCAACATCTGCAGAGAACTCATATGGAGATTCAACGAGTAGATTCTATCATTTCAGGTCCGCGAGCTGCTGGACAAAGGATATTCTTTGTAAGATCTACAGCAACTCCGAAAGTTCTCGTCCGATCTTCACAATTTATTATCTTTCGAGGCCACGAATATGGCAACAAAGATAAGATGGAGGGAGTGGGCATTCAGGAAAGCTGGTGTGGAGAAAATACGAGGCTTGTAGTTTCCGCCATATTCGACAATATTTATGCCAGCTTTCTTCGTACATAATTAACGCGCCCGCTAAGTCAATGGGAAAACAAAGCCCAGGATATAGCTGTTTCTCAAAAACTAATTGAACATCGCAAGCTCGGAATCTAACCAGACCTTGGCATTCTCATGAAATATCTGCTTGGCCAATATGATGTGTTCTGCACAATCTCACGGAGAATTTCTTTTAGTATTGAGTTACTTCGGTTTCTTCCAGCACAAGGTGAGTTGGAAAATAATAGAAAGAAGTTCATTTTGAGCTTTTGAAGAGTAATTATAGCTTCTTTGGAGTTATCCCGATGGATGGAAGTTTCCAGGGTCAAATTCCAAATAACATAAATCTTTCCCTTGTTTAACCTATCTCACAGCTCATTATCTTTATTTACTTCTAATAGTTTCTGCTGCTTATTATCCAAGCAAGGTAATCATTTAGGAACACAAAAAATTTCCCACATTTCCTAGTCTCCCAATTTCGATCAATTCAAAATTTCTTCATCGGGCGTCATAACTTAAACCTCATTCTCCGCATATCAACATATCGGAAGCGTTTGTTGCTCAAAATGGTAGGTTTTATATCCTTTTCTCGAAAGTTCCGACATTGACTAATAATACCTATGCAGGTAAAATACGTGCAAGAGGTGCTCAAGTGAGGAGAACGAGGAAGACAAAAAAAGCAGGATAGCAAGAAGAATTAGGACAGCGATGAAAATTGGAAATAGCGACGACAATGAAAATAGTGAGTTTGGTCATGGTAGTGAGGATGATTACGGACGGTATCGACGATGCCTACGTTATTGAGGTCCAAGTAGACGGGGACAACGAGAATGATCAGGATGATCATGGTGATTATGAAGATGATGGTAGTGATGGCAATGAAGATTATTATCATGGTTAAGAGTAATTGAGGTTGATGAGGAAGAGGAGGAAGAGGAGGAAGTGGTGGACGACGGCAAAGACGATGATCATGAAGGCCATGAAGTCGAAGAAGTCAAGCCACCTCCTCCTATGGCCGCAGAGAAAAGAGAAATCTCAGTACAGGTATGGATTTCAAATCCATCATACTGATATCTCCTAGAGCCGAAGATTTAGAACCCGGCGAACGAACTGTGAAAGATGCGAGTTCTTTTGCATCATTTTCGATTCCATGGAAGTTGTCCTAGATGCAAGTTTCAATTTCAATCATTGACCAAAGCTCCATTATGCAGTTTGATTTAATTCTATCTCTTGTTCAAGATCCGCATTTTTTTAATTTTTTTTAGGTTCATCTTTCCACATTCTTACCCCTCGAGCTACAGCCATTATCTCCTTTAATTAACCGAACATGTGATTATTTTGACTGTCTTTTTTTGTACACAGATTGATTGAGCTTTTGTTGCTCAGCAGGCTGGTTTTAGCGATGCATTTGCTGCTCGTACTCGCTTTGGATAGGTTAGCAAGAAACTTAGAGATCATTATCGATTACAGGCACAACCGCTCATCCCTACTGTGGCAGGATTCCCTCTCCCAAGAATCCTCGAACGAGAGAAGACTGGAAAAGCAAAATTAGTCTCATTTGATCCGAAGGAACTAAGAACATTCAGGAAAGATCTACCAAGCCTGAACTCCCCAGAAGTTTGATAAACAAGCGGTCAAAGTTCACACAAAACCGTGGCCAAGGATACACCATGCTCAGAAACGACCACGAGCCCGTAAACCATTCACGCATGCTAATAGCGTGATAATTATGATATTTTGAATGAGTATCAGGATAATGAGGAATTTGACCTGAATAATTTTCATGGATTTCATAGAGAGACGAGCACCCTTACTGTTAGTGATGAAGGAGAGGAAGGTAGTGCCAGTGAGGATGGACAAACCGGAGGATTTTGCCATGGTGGTGGAGGAAGACTCATAGAGCACTAAGCCGTAAGATTTATTGGTTCCCAAGTCTACAATCCTCCCATAATATCATATGCATTATTTTCATGGGATTGGGCTAACTATTTTTGATAGATTGAGTATCAGTCCAGAGTTGAGAGATTCATTCATAATGGTATACATGGCTATCTCTTGAGTCAGAGTTTGTATGGGATTGTTCAATAGTGACAACTTCCACTCTTTCCGGCGAGTTCTTTGGGTCGTATTCCAATGGATGATCCACACACACATTTTATGGATGTAGATATGGAAATAATTAGTTGAGATGTGGAATAGATAGAATGTCTAATAATTCAATGATTTGATCCTACAACCATATGTGCACTTGGATCAGAGGATTCATGGTGAATTTGAATATGAATATAAATAGAAGCATATTGAGATGTACAATGCTGACACGGCGCTCCTGGTTACCATACCATCTTCTACTTAATACAGCAGAACATGGTCATAATATGATGCTAGTTCATTGACAGCTTCACATCAGATTGCCTCTAAACTGCCCAGTAAACTTGATTCTATCACGGAATTCATGGCAATTGACGCTGGGTATGGTTTCTTTGCCAATTGTCGCGACTTCCAATCTGACGATCTTTATGTAAAATTACCGTTTCATTAGGGCTGGATATCGCTCAAGGACTTCTTTTGGTGACTCATTGCTTCGTCTGGTGGCGTTTCGGGCAATGCATCCCGATCTTTGATGGGACATTTTTCATTCACTTCATCTTCATGCACAAACGATCAGTCAGAACATGGCAGAATAGTACGATCGAGATCTATAGATCCATCTCTAGCTAGCTAGTACGGAAGAATGCCATTGTATTCCTTTTAAATATCGATCTTTGCTCGAGCTGATACCACCGGTCTCGCTCTTGATACTGCCAGAGTGATGGTGCCAGCTCATTCAGGATTCACAATTCTAACTCTACAAAGACGTCAAAACTTCACATAACCTACCAAGTGAGGCTAGAGGCCGATTTGATGTTGACATGAACATTCGACCTTTTTCAAATGCAAAATGCAACACATTGATTCATTCAATAAAGCCCTTACCCCGCTCTTAATAACAAATTAACCTTCCATTAGATCTAGAACGATGCTCGAAACGGAAAACTTCGATCAATTCATGCAATGGAAAAGAGCTGACACCGGTGAAAGTCACATGTGAAAATGGGTAGCCTCCAGAATGAACATCTGCAGATGACTTTTAGTGAATACCTAGTGAAGGTTGACTTCCGCATCATCCAATCAAGCCACAGAGAATATAAGAGAGATTTGAATGAGCACCGTTCCCATGGAGACATATAAGCACATCTTCATCACACATTCAACTTAATTTCTTCATCTCACCTACACAACATTTTCCTCAACCTCAATCAGTTGACATTATTCACATTCTCATACCATTTAACAACCTCACACTTTCATACATCAAGAGCTTGCATTACTCTGCAAGTCCATCATGTATGTTTCATTACTTTCATCTTTCTGCGATACCTTTATCGTGCTGACAGCTTTGGTATACGTAGATCGGCTCGTCGCGTCCCATTCCACAACAAACACCTCTCCAACCAACATCAAAATGTCCGACAACGAGACTGCTAGTACTCCAGCTCAAGCCAATGGCGGTATGAGCCAGGTCGAAGTTGATTTTCTCATGTGCTGTCTTCGTAATACTACTGGTGGCTCTATCCAGGTAAGTTATCTTGTCGCGCCTTCGATTTTCTCATGCTGCCATCGTTCTTTTACCCACCATCTTTGATTTGCGACGCACAAATACTACTGTAATATACTTCCACATTTCAACATCGCAGTGATATCTCAGGTCCTTCAATTTCCTTTTAATTACGAATTCTCTTCTAAAAATACAAAAAACAAGTCTTGCTTCATTCTTGCGCGGCACGACATCACAACATCGTGACTGTAATGGCTTGTCCTTTTTGGAAAACCCTCGCGAGAAATATTTCACATCCTCTTCAATTTCGCATTACACTTTCATGCCGCACATTTTGATTTTCCAATTATTGTCCCCAATAGCTGATTAGGGAAAAATTTTCAAGGTCGATACTCAAAAAGTCGCTCAACTCTTGAACTACAAGAACCCTCGTTCAGTAAGTCATACTCTTATCTATTCGATCTTTCATTACCTGACCTATACTATAGGTTTCCAACAAGGTTTCCAGCATCAAGAAGAAGTATAACCTTCCCTTCGGTGCTTCCAGCCGCACCGCCGAAGAGATGGCAGTAAGCAAGCCTGGCAAGGGTGACGCTTCACCAAAGAAGGCATCTGATGCAAATGGTGATAATGAGCCCGCCGTTCCTACCACCCCTTCCAAAAATAGGGTCACCAAGGCCAAAGCCACTCCAAAACCTCGCGTCAAGAAGACACCAGCGAAGAAGTCCACCAAGAAGGTTGCCGCTGAGGACTCCGAAGAGGAAGAGCTTAGCGACGTTAAGGATGAGGAGATGGAAGATGCCAAAGAGGAAATCGATGAATAGATATCTTCACGTCATATCTTTTCAGGGGCTGGTGTTGGTGCTTATATAGCTGAGGTGTCATATATGCCACCTAAGCTTGATATGAGTGCCGCATGGTGGTTCTGTTCAACGTTTGCTCCTCAAGTCCTGACGCTTTTCTTTTTTCTTTGTATGGCGATTGGGGTTTACAAGAGATGCTAGAGAGATGAGAGGCGTAAATTATCAGCCATGGATACTAAAATGATTGTCAATTGCTCGTTTTTAGGGATAAGGATGATCCATAGGTGGTTGTTGGTTGTTCCACTGCAGCGTTGAGTTGTTCTGGAAACTACAATATCGGAGATCTTTATAGGGTTATTACTTATTTTACTTTGAATGTGACGGTGAATTGCTTTTGCACTCGTTTGGCTTCCAAACTTGCTCAACATCATGGCAGAGATAGAGGGAAAAGCAATATGAGGTCTGTGCAAACACAGCCAACCAAACGGAAACGCCTCAGAATTTGTATCATATTCTTCATAATGCTTATTTTCTGCCGCCTAGAAGGTAAAATGCATATTTCATGCATAATCTGACCATAAAAATGTGATGATGGCTTTTGTGAGGCAGCAATAATTCATTTTTCCAATTTGAATGGAAACCTGCGGGAAGATGAGATGCAGCTAGAAAAGAGAAATATCTGGATAATTCACTTTTATTACTATTGCTGCCTATTAATTCGAGTACCTAATATATGGCTGGCTATAAGGTCACAGCTCATCTTTGCTGCTGCTCAACTGCTTCTCTTCTTCTCCATCCATCAACACCACATCCTCACTACCGCAACCAAAAATTCATAGTTCTTGCAAATTAGCTTGCGCATTCAAAGACTCCATTGCAAAGAAGTATTTTGCCCAAGATCAATTACTTTATCTAGTACAAGGTAAGATTTCCATCTGGAACCTGAATATCTTCTAAAGTCCTGGTGGTCGATCTATGAGCTGACGTGAAGGTAGATTCAGCAATCGCAAAGATGACGGCTCTTACTTTGACTGCGAAGGAGACCGAAATGCTTGTTGCTGTCATGTCTGAGATGGGCGAGATTCCTAATACTGTGAGTACCTTCTTTACTTTTCTCATCTCCCAAGGTGGTGCGGGAGCCCTCTTCGGTCAAGCTTTCACTTCAATCGATCTGGAATATTGAACCTACTGTTTGGAACCTTATATATTTGAAATAAATATTTTGGCTTTGGAGACCTCTTGATAAGGATTGGTATCTCTCATCTGACGTCGTCTCCTCCAATACAAGAACGTCGCTGTCTCTTTAATATACCAACTACATCTGAGCAACATACTAACGGTCTAAATCAATAGATCAACTTCGAACGTGTCGCCAGTCGGGTTGAGGTCAAGTATGCTAGAAATGCGCGTTCAAGCTTCAAGAAATTATTTGATAAATTGAAGGTATGATATTCCCTCGACAAAGCCCGATTTATACTCGGTCACGCATTAGAATAACACCAACTCATCGCACATAGTCTCAAGCAGGACCTGCTCCGGATGGCGAAAATGACAGTACCCCGCCTAAGACTCCAAGCCCCACCAAGAAAGCTTCTCCAAAGAAGAAGGTTGGCCCGAACAACACTCCCGTCAAAGCCACTCCTAAATCCAGGGGAAAGAAAGCTGGAGCCAAGAAGGAAGTCAAGGAAGAAGTGTTTGACAGTGATGAGCAGTTGGAAGAACCAATTTTGGACGACGAAGATGGCAAGTCATCAAACCATATTTCTTCTCTAGCAGCCAAAGATACTGGAAACAACACCAGAGCTAGCCACTCTACTGGATCTTCTGAAAGTGTTCAGACATCAGATGAAGATACTAGGATGTCTGTCGTCGAAGTGCAAAATTCAATGTCTGCTTCACCCGGGGATAATACAGATGATGAAGAATTTGACCCTGAAGAACAGATTCAGGCCGATCAGTTTGGCATGAGTGTTCCTGCTTATCGGGAGTGGCAAGCTCTTAACGTTTACACCGTTCACGACAACTTCCTGGATGATATCTGAAATGGATGTTTCTTTCAAGCAAAGCTTAGGCTCCGTCTTTATTTTCTTCTAATTTCTCTCCTTGTGGATCTTTGCAATGCTTCTTTCTAGGTTTCTCGTCTTCAAAACGTGCATTTATTTGCACATCCTTTATTTGCATCCACCCTTGCTAATTGTAACCACTTCGGCAGAGGATTCTTTTTAAATTCAATTCTTTCTACTTCTCCATTTGACTCGCTATTTTCAGATGGAGGGATGAATAAGCTTAGATGGATGTCATTTGATTTGTTCGCAGGTTGGTTGTGGTATTGAGCATGACAGATTGTTTCCCCTCGCTACGATTGTATTATGAGAGAAAAATGGGTTTTCAGGATTACGATAAGGAGGTTATGATGGATACTATATGGATGTTGCGGGAGAAGGTCTAATGCATGATCAGTGACGATAGCCATGGTACTTTCATAGTTTGCTTTTTAATGCAATCTCCCATAACCAAAATATCAATTCTCTACCCAATACCCATGATAATGATTCTCCTTTCTAGGTTGAAAGAAAACTTCTTTCCGAGAGTCTTTCAAAATTCACTATTCAGACCATGATTCCATAACACACTTCTATTGACCAACCCAAATCAAACAACAAAATTAGTCTTTGATGGCCCCACTCCCTAAAATCACATCTCCAATTCTTTCATGCACACAAACTCTCGGCGACGGCAGCCTGTCCTAAATCTACAAATTGACTATTCCCAACAAGCCAGTAAGTTGCAACTACTCAGCTACAGTCTGGACAATACAAAGAAAGACGTCCTCCCTCCTCTTCCTCATCCCAACTTGTCAGTTTTACCATATCGGAAGACCTACCTCATCTTTCCTTTTTCTGCCGTCAATTTTAACCTTCTTCCAAAATCAATACTGGAAATTTCAATCTCTCTCTCGAAGGACGAAGTCTAACTTATTTTGATTGTCTTTGCTAGTCTATCTATCTCATCCAGTCGAGGAAACGCCAACAATATACCAAGATATACGAAACTGAACTGTGCAACGATCTATAAGACTTGATCGTCATGGCTCCAGCTTCTAATGAAGAACAATTCAGGTTCCTTATTAGCTGTATTCGATATAGCAATAATGGGAAGGTATTTCCTCTTTTCCCCTCGATACTTCGCTGTCTATTTACCTTCACATCACCGTACCATCTACTGTCTCTGTCAGTGTCGAAGAAGAATACTAAGATCGTGCAGGTAGACTTTAGTCAGGTAGCCAAAGAATGCAACATCGTCACCAAAGGTGCCGCGTAAGTTTAAATTCTTTCCTACTCCCTCTTCTTTCCCATCAATTCCATTTCCAATTCCAGTTCCAATTCCAATTCCTCAACTTCAATTCTCCCACCCTCCACCGGAAACACCAAACTAACATCTCCCTCCTCTAGCGCAAAACGCTACGAACGCCTGATGCGCTCCCACGGCATCGCCCCAAACGCAGCATCCATCAAGCCAGCTCATAGCTCATCCTCCAGCACATCAGTCCCCACCTCCGCCTCCGCCTCGGCTTCCCGCAACAAATCCAGCTCTAGCAAGAAACGCAAGTTTTCTCCCGAAGAGGAGAATATCGATGATGATGATGATGAAGGGGAAGAAACCTCCAATCAAAGACTGAATAGAAGTCGAGTTAAGAGAGAAGTTAAGAGCGAGATGGGTGCGCGTGTTAATGCTAATTATGGGATTGTGAAGGAAGAGGGGTATCGTGAGGATTCGCCTAGTGTGCAATTACAGGAAGGATTGCAGATGGGTGTTGGCGCGGGATTGTGTAATATTAATAGGGAGCTGGTGGGTTATTATAGTGATGGTAGTAGTGCGGGTGGAAGTGTTGATGGGGATGTACGAGGGGGTGAGTTTCGTGAGGGGGATGGGTATGCTGGTGCTATTAGTGCCGGTGGTATGAATGCCGGCGGTAGGGATACTTATAGTAATCCGCAAAACGGCTTTGGCTTTCATTCGGGTGGATATGGTGGAATGATGGGTGCTCACGGTATGAGGGGAAATGGAAATCGTATGGCTGGTCACGGTGGACAGAATATGATGACTTCGACGCCAAGAAGTCATGCTGCTATCTCGGATGGAATGCGTATGGGTGTGCAACAATATCAATCTATGGGACAAGAGTACGATAGTCAAGACGGATCGGATAGTCGCTCGTTAGTTGAATAGAGGATGCTCCAGTTTGTTTGGTTGTTGGAGATGGCGAGTCACAGTGGAGAATATGCGAGGAAAGGAGCTTTACTTGTCGTTCATGGCGTCTGCAGTTTGAGAGAAATTCCTGGTACATTTTCCGGAATCTGAACGAGGATTTTCAATTTTAGCGGATGGAGTAGTTAAGTGCAGGTGGGAATTTATGCTTATCAAAACGGAGACGGAATAAAATGGGAATAATTCAAACCAACATTGGTGTCGCTCTCAATCTTTCGACCTGTATTTAGCAATCAATATCATCTGTTTGCGCCATTTTCACTCTCTTAATGGAATTTGAAGAAGGCTGTGATATGCCGTAGTTGTCGTCGCATATTTCCTCCAGAAACGACGTTACCGGGTAACTGCTAGACCCGGATTTGGAGATTGAAGCATAGTAGATAGTATAAGACTTGCGTAAAGCACCAAGTCAACTTGTTAAATTGCAGCGAAAATCTACGAGTAACTGCGAGGTCTAATTACCAAAGTGTAAAATCACTCATGGAAGTTCTGAATGGGTGCTGCTGTTATATTGAGAATGATATTGTTAAAAATTGGTACTAATCCTCTCTTATCTCTCCTTGTATGTGGTTTAAAGCAAAACCGAGTTTTACTAGTAATATGGACGGTCCTGCAGGTGCATCTACTCCTCGTTTAGTCGAACATGTTTCCACAACACAGAGATAATTCACTCACTTTGAGTTTCGATTTCTTGCAGCTCAGCTAGAGGTCAAACGGGGTAGTATTTTAAAAGAACTAATAAGATCGCCAAGTATGGAGAAGATGCGCATGGTTAGGAATTCTGGTCTATTATCATGCATAATTGGCACATGCTGGTTTTCATACTATCGTATTCATTCACCTGCGCCCCTGCTTGCCGGAGGTTCGTTGATGAATGGAACACGCTGAGTTGGGCTTTGCTCTGCATGATAGGCTTGAAAGAGTAGATTGTCAAGTAGTGTCATCGTAGACAATCTTGCTGTATAACCACCGACTTATCGACGTCGCAAGCTGCAGTATGAGGTTCCCACATAGAGTTATTGCCATACCGGACATTTGGAGCACGTCTTTGTAGATGAACGCACATCTACCCTGACTGAGGACAGCAATTAAAAGCACACCATGGTCTACAAATGCAGAGAAAGAGAAGAAGGCCATGACCATGACCATGACTATAATCATAATCATAATCATAATCATAATCACAATCATAATCATAATCATAATCATAATCATAATCATAGCCATGACCATAACTATAATCATAATCAATAATCAATAATCATATAATCATAATCATAGCCATGACCATAACCATAACCATAACCATAACCATAACCATAACATATTCAATATCTCGGCCCTTTTTGACGTCACCAACATTATTCCCGCTCTTGCATGCTCTCGGTGAATGGGAAATTATCTGTCCCGTTTAGGCTTAGGCACAGATGCAGACACAGGCAGAGATCGAAGTTATTGATGTGATCTCAGTCCTCGCTTGTTTCGCCTTTTTCCTCATAACAACACAATCTTTCTTTCTACAATTCCAAAACCAAAACAAAACCAAATTCATTTCGTTTCGTTTCTTTTCGTTTCTTTTCTTTTCTTGTCTTTCCATCGTCAATTGAACACATACACTCCCTCTATCACTGCTCTTTTATTTTAAATCGTCTTAGAGCTCTTTTCAAGGTACGTTTTAACAACGCAGTCATTTATCTGCCTCAGTTCTGCTGCAATTCCTCAGTCCTCTATCTCTCAGAACCCCACCTTCCCGATCTGGCGGTCACGCTCTCCTGCACTCCATTACCCACATACCCGCAGTCCAGATCTGGGCCGGTGGGCTATTGAGTATATTCCAAGCTATATAGACGCATTTCATCAAGGCGCTACCAGCTCACAAAGGACTCTTCCTCTTGCTGATGATAAGCGTCGCCGCAGCAACAATTTTCTTGAGCAATTTGTCTCCATCAGCGGTACACCAAGATCGAGTGGCTCGAAAGCGTTTCAAGTCACTCTGCACAAGATTGTTCAAACTTGTGTGCATCAAAAGCCTTTCATCTTTTGCCTTTCATCTCTTGTCCTTATCTCTTGCCCAAGAAGCTTTTGATTCTGCGCCATACTGCCCAGACTCGTCAACTGAATTTCAAGGGCAACCGGGGATACCACATACAATCTCAAGGCAGCAGCTACATACATATGGATGCCAAGGTTTGTATACTATTTCTCCTTTGGCATATGCGCCCAATCCCTATCGCTCCGCTGTCTCTTTGCAATTCATATCACTCTTTTCCACTTTCATATTCACCCATTTCCTTCTACCCCAATCTAAACTTCCCCGCTCTATAAATCCATTTGCGGAATAGCTAGCACATAGCTGTACCCACATACCAAAGGTCGGACAAGGTGTCCAAGCAATAAAAGCTGACAAAGGTCTCTATTTTCCAGATAGTTCTTACTTTCTTCAACAACTTTAAAACAACGTACCACCAGCCAAAGCTTAGCGAACATGCCATCAATCGATGGGGATATCAGCATGACCGACTCACTTGGCCGTAACCAAGATCTCGAAAACATCGAACAACGAATCATCAAGGTTGAGAAGCAAGAATCTGCCCACCGTGGTACTGTTGTCACTCCAGCCAAACCTGGTGCAGCTTCTAGATTCACAGCAACCCCAGCGACCACGAATCGACTCATCGCCTCAATCGAAGCAGATGAGAGCTATGACCCTGTCACGCCCTCCAAGTCACTGACCAGAGGTAGTCGGGGCAAAGGGACAAAGAGGGCCGAATCACAATCTCCTAAAAAAGCTGCCAGTGCTAAGGCCTCGGCTGGCAAGGTTGTTAAGACTCGACAAAGTCCAAGTAAGTCGCCAAGAAATTAGTTGTTTTCTTCCTGGCCGATACTTTGTTTCTAGTCGAAACCTGATATTCCATGGTTGAGCTGACCGTCCCTGCAGAGAAAAAAGACACTAAGCCTGGCTTAAAGAATCCCCAAGCCGCGTTGCTTGGTGAAACTATTGCTGAAGATGACGATAATGGTGAAGACTGGGAAGATGAGAATGACGATGCTAGATCAGATGAGAATACCTGGAGCCAAGTAAATAAAGTTATCGGATCCACTGGCAAGCCAACTCATCCAAATGGTCGAGCCGAAGGTCGTAAACTTGTTTCATGGCATAGTAAGCTTCGGTTCTTTTCATCTGCTATGAGTACATAGATTAATCTTCCATAGGAACACGAATGATGGAGAAGCTAATCTTGCACATCGTGTTCGAATGTCGCCGTGCTGATATCAATCTTCCATGGGACAAGATTGCTCACAGGCTCTGCCCTGGCAGTTCCGGTGCAGCCGCACAACAATACATCAACAAGATGCGGGACGTTCTTATCACAGAAGGCCACCTTGTTCCTCCTCCTCTGGGAAAGAAGGCCGTGTTGGATCCAAGCATTCGTGGATACATTCGTGACACAGATGCTGAAGACCCAAAGGCGTCCCGTTCTGTTGGTTGGCTCGAAGAGATCGTCGACTTGAAAGAAAGTCTTGTTGTTCCTGGTGTTTCTAGAGGCTCAGGAACCTATCGTCGTGATAAGACTCGATGGCAAAGCAACAAGGCAACCATCGGCGAGGAAACACCTACCAAGATTGTTCGCGCTCGCGCTCGTCCCGATAGGCAGCTCTCAAAGTCGACGCCCAAGCCAAAAGAGAAGGTTGTAAAGATCAAGAAGGAGCGATCTGAGTCACTTGATCCTGCCGAGATGCCATCAGATGATGATTACGACCCCCGAAACCGTCTTAAGATCAAGGGCCATCGCAAGCGGAAGGTTAAGGTTAAGAATGTGCGTAAGTATGAGACGGATGATGATATGGATAAGGCCACCGAGTCGGAGAATGAATCATTTGGGTACTCGGATGACGAGACATACCTTATAGAGACACCAAGTAAGAAAAAGGGCTCGGGAAACGATTTGATGACATCTTTAGCTGCTTTGCCTGTTACGCTTAAGCTTTCCCCGGATCTACTCAGTAAATTTCCTGGCGGCCTTGCTAGTAAATCTGTTCAAGATATGCTTGCAGGTACTGAGACTGAGGACGATGGATGTACCGAGGAAGACCATGATGATTCTGAGACCGCTGCCGGCGCTTCTACTCACGATGGCGACGATGTTTTTGGTCCAAAGAGCTTTGACCTCAACAATATCCATGGTTTTGAGCTACAAACCCAAGCTTTGTTCCCTCCTAACAACTACGTACGGGGTATGAACTACAGCTGTAACTTTTATAGCCAAAATGATCCCATGAGTGCTCACGGTTATACGTCGGTGTATACTCCAACCTGCAACAACCACAACTTCTCCAATGTTCAAGCTACATCCTTTGATAATACTTATGGCGGCGATTCATACCCTAACGACATGTTTTTAGGCATGCAAAACTTCAACCCAACATCCGGTATTCATGACGGCTTGAATTTTGGTGGCTCAAACGAGACAATGCATGACATGAATGGAAGTCATGACAACACAAGTTCATTCATACAAAGCACTGAAGTCAGCTCAAGCAATAGTAGTTTTGCACAAGTTCCCGCCAACGCCGAGTATGACCGGGGTGTATTTAATTATGCCAATGCTAGCAGCATTGTTCCCAGTCGGAGCTTTGAAACCCCTGACGCCGATAGCTGGGTCGAGCAATTTGCCAGCAACGTCCCCTTCAAGCATGATGGCAGTCTCTGATTCGGCTTTTGCGTTCGAAGTTGTATGGCCCTTGACATATCAGCAATAAGTAATGATATTATGCCGACTCTTCGTCCAATGAACCAGCAATTTTTTCGGGACAGTTCAATCTGTACAACGATCTTTTTCTTTCATTTCTTCTTTGTTTTAACAATCTATTTTAAACCAGTTGGATCCATACTTCTATATCAACTTCAGCATCTCTTCGCTTTCCGTGGCGCTTGGATGCAAGGAAGTCGTCATGAAACAATGGCCGCCCAAAGTTTCTTCGGAATTATTCAGCATGGTCGTGTGTCAAAGCTGGTTCTTCTACTTAGGAAGTCTTCTTGGCCTTGCGAAGGGAGTAAAAACGGTCCAGAAACAGAAACATATCAAACATGAGCAAGCTTTGCCTTTGCTCTTCCTTTGGTAGCACTGTTGTATCTGCACGATTGATATTTCCGCGTTGCCTCCTCATTCGACTATCGGTTTGCCCTTGTTTCCAATATTTTTGAGGCGAAGGGGAGTATTCGTTTGGATTTGGATGCTGATCGCCTTGAATGGAAGTTTTACTCGTCATTTGCTCAGCAGTCGGAAAAGTGGGAGACAAAAGGCCCTGTATCATAGATAGATGCCCAATGACAATTATCTATGAAGTCCCTAACACCTTATGGAAATGCATGTGAATCTTCCGGCTAACGTGAAGAGCGATTCAGCAGGAGTGCGAATTGTAGCGTAGTACGACATCGTATGTGCTTTGTAGCGGCACAACTTTCCATCTGTGTTGAATAACACCTTGCCATAGGGCAGGCTTGAAAGAATTTCGTCGTACTTCCATAATTTTCTCGGGTTGCGAGACTGACTTGACTGGCCGAGAAGACAATTTTGTTATGCAAAAGGGTCCCAGGATTTTTTGCATGAAATACTCCATGGTGTCTTCATCCATCAATCATTGAATGAAAGGGGTCCAAAACAAATACAAGATGGATTCAGCAGGACTAAATTCCTTTCTCAATGTGAAAAAGAGCCACGAGTTGGATTACCCTGTTTATGCGAGTGATTCATTCCACAGAACTGTGATTCACAACCTGTGAAGCCATTCGTTTTGGAGGCTGTGTAGGGAGTTGAGAATGAGAATTCGTGGTCCATCTAAAAAGAATGGATTGGCGATCGTAGTACGAGATATTTTGGTGCGGTTTTCCAAATGGGTAGTTTCCATTCATTTCGGAGAGCGAATGTACTTGTGTAAGTGTATCGTGGAGAGAGATATTCTCACTCTTTCGCAACCAAAGTAAGAGTAATTGTTCTTCTGTTGTTCGCCAAGCGACTGTGTCTTTTCTTATATGCGGCCGTACGAGATGTACTGGGTGGCACGATTTCGAAGGTAGTTGGTATGGGACAAGACTCTGCGGAGCTTGGGAGTTGGATACATTGTTTCAGTATCAGTATCAGCAAAGAGACAAGACTAAAGGATCTCTCACCATGTACTAGAAGTAGACTCCCTGTCTATAAGTGCCGAGAAATATTTCATGCTTGGACTTTTAATTCCCAGTTTTCGATCTTGTTGGAGAATCCAAAGTGTTGTTAAACTTACAGACAGAAAAACTTGAACGAAGACTAATGCGGGCGGTCCATAAGAGGAACTGTTGGGGTGAATCTTATAGATAAGATTGTTCATTGAACAGCTGAGGTCCGTGCCCCTCTAACATCTCCTTCACCTTCTTTTATTGTTTCAGTTTGTTGAGTCTATGTAGTTAGATGTGAGATATAACCATTTGGAAAGAGAATAGACCATTGATCCTTCTAATTCTTAGATTGATTTTCCTAGATTTTGAGATCTTGTTCTTTTGAATGAGCACATCAGGTATTAGCCATGATTCAGATATAGAAGATGGAAGACTTATCTAATGGTGACAACAAGATCTTCCGCTGTTCAGGAGGTGACCAGACTTTGTGCTAACTAAGTGGAATACAGTTTACATCATGATAACCAAAGTTGATATGGGATGTCATTCACTTATAAAGAGAAATCCTCTTCAGGGAGTAGACATCAGGCAATGATTACCTGGGTACTATGACTATTCGTCGTTTTAAAGAGTAATTCAGTACTTTTATGATATTTTATTCAAAGTTCTTTCCCACAAACGATAGTACATTTTATTAAGGTAGTTAACAGCTATTTTATAGACCGTGGTATATTAGTGATGCTCGATTGAACAAATTCAGACTTACATATAAAGTAGAATGTCTTGCCTGCCCAAGAATAATGAAAATTGCAGTAGAATTTCAAGTCTTAAGTATATGCATTCCCTAGCCGATTTCAAACTGGAGGTCTCTTGTATATCAGGGGATCCTGAGAGGCAATTACCCCTTACCCCTTACGCTTCAGATGAGAACATCTAGAAATTGATGAACTTATCTTATACTAATACAAGACGAAATAAGTGATCAGGAAAGAAGGAAGTACTTTACAATGAATTGATAACACATAAAGGCAAGTAATAAAACTGCCAGTTTTATTAATGATGAGTTCTGTAGTCAGTTGAGTGACCTACAGTCCCAAGCTAGGATAAAGCTCAAGTACAGCTATATATATTCACATACATGGTTTGGATTTTCCTGATCTTGCTTTATATAGATAACTTGTTTACTTGTACTACTCATGTATTGAATTAGATTTCAACGCGGTATTCTTCCTTTTCACTACCTTACAGCCCTCTAAATTGACTTCAAAATTTTGGATCATGTTTAAGACTGAGATGTGCTATCAGGATTCGGACATATGATATGATAATGATCAAGACGTGTTGTGAGGAATTTGTAGGGTCAACATCTATCTCGGTAGACTAACAATGTAGAATTGTGTTGGATAGACAGTTAAAACAAGTGAACTGTTTAGAAATCAGAGGTGACTATTAACAAGAATTTCCAGGGACCCCTCATTATTACTACACAGATGCCAAGCGTAACAAAGTAGCAACAATGTTGAAGACAATATTGAGGGCCATTAATAAACAACACATGGTTGGAAGTACACAGAGCTTCTATATAACACACTAGTAGTCACAGTTTGGTGATAATTTGCTTTATTTACGCCAACACAGAGAATGCTTGTTGGACCATCCACCGCAGGAGAGTAGCGCTGGCCACCAATTTTTCATACAGAATAGGTAACTAGTACTTCTCGTTTGGTTGAAGTGCAACGGAGAACTCCAGCTCAGAGTATATCCATTCAAATTGCGATTGTTGAAACCCCTTGAAGCAAAGGGAGATGAGAGACCAGAGGAGAGTTGAGTGCTGGACATCGTGGTAGATACGAGAAGACCATATAATTAGACATAAGCTCCTTCAAGGTAAAGCATGAGTATACAGTATACACACATACGTATGTCATGTACACTCGTTTTCATCAATAGTCTATCAAGGAGTGAAAGTTGAAGTGTTCACTGTACTATAAGACTAATCTGAGCTGAAGTAACCAAAGTGAAGTGAAGTGAGGCACGGAAGTGATGACGGTGTGAATTAGTCAGCAATTGTATCCTCGGCCCCTCATTCGGTATCTTCCGTTTGCCAAAATGTTTCTCGCAGATTCGATGGAGAATGGTTCTTCCGGACATGGGGCCCAGAAAAATTATCTCCAAGATCCCAAAGTCTCCATTCTTTCATTTTCCTTAAAAGAACCCAAAAGCCTCCTCTATTATACCCTTGAGTGCTTTGAGACCAGATTTCTCTTTGTTTTGTTTTCAAAAGCGTCTTTCATTCAATTGATTTCAAGATGCAACGAGCTTTGAGTTCTAGAGCTAGAGCTTCGGTCCTTACCGGATCGACAGCTTCAAAGCTTCGCCCTTTACAACAATTGAGATTTGCCCATAAGGTATGTTGAGTTCACTTCCGTGCAAAGAACATAAAGTAGATTTGCTGAAATTAATGCTAACTATATTGTCATTTAGGAGCTCAAATTCGGTGTTGAAGCCAGAGCAGCTCTTTTGGCTGGTGTTGAGACTCTAGCAAAGGCTGTTGCCACAACCTTAGGACCCAAAGGACGAAATGTTTTGATTGAGTCAGCATATGGCTCCCCAAAGATCACCAAAGGTTTGCAAATTCTTGGCTAGTTTGAATGCAAAATTCTAACTTGGTGAACAGATGGTGTGACTGTTGCCAGAGCGATTACTCTCAAGGACAAATTCGAGAATCTCGGTGCTAGACTTATTCAAGATGTGGCCTCAAAAACCAACGAGACAGCTGGTGATGGAACCACAACCGCAACTGTCCTTGCCAAATCCATCTTCTCCGAGACCGTAAAGAACGTTGCTGCAGGATGCAACCCAATGGACTTGCGCAGGGGTACACAGGCTGCCGTGGAAGCTGTTGTTGAGTTTTTGCAAAAGAACAAGCGTGATATCACGACCAGCGAGGAAATCGCACAAGTCGCAACCATCAGTGCAAATGGCGATACCCACATCGGAAAATTGATTGCCAACGCCATGGAGAAGGTTGGAAAGGAAGGTGTAATCACAGTTAAGGAAGGAAAGACCATGGAAGATGAACTCGATATTACCGAAGGAATGAGATTTGACCGCGGTTACGTCTCGCCATACTTCATCACCGACACCAAGTCACTAAAAGTGGAGTTTGAGAAGCCATTGATTCTCCTCTCTGAGAAGAAGATCTCAAACGTTCAAGACATTATCCCAGCACTTGAGGCATCTACTCAACTTCGCCGTCCTTTGGTCATCATTGCTGAAGATATTGACGGTGAAGCACTCGCTGTGTGCATCCTCAATAAGCTCCGTGGTCAACTCCAAGTTGCAGCTGTCAAGGCACCCGGCTTCGGCGACAACCGAAAGTCCATTCTTGGCGATCTTGGTATCTTAACCAATGCCACCGTCTTTACTGATGAGCTTGATCTCAAGCTCGAGAAGGCTACAGCAGATATGCTCGGCACCACTGGATCTATCACTATTACCAAGGAGGACACTATCATCTTGAACGGAGAGGGTAGCAAGGATGCCATTGCCCAACGATGCGAGCAAATCAGAGGTGTTATGAATGACCCTGCTACCTCGGACTACGAGAAGGAGAAGCTCCAAGAGCGTCTTGCCAAGCTCTCTGGTGGTGTAGCTGTTATCAAGGTCGGTGGTGCATCTGAGGTTGAAGTGGGTGAGAAGAAGGACCGATTCGTTGATGCTCTCAATGCTACTCGTGCCGCTGTTGAGGAGGGCATCCTTCCAGGTGGTGGAACTGCTCTCCTCAAGGCTGCAGGTCAAGCTCTTGGTGGTCTCAAGCCTGCCAACTTTGACCAACAACTTGGTATCAACATTATCAAGAGCGCTATCACCAAGCCAGCACGTACTATTGTTGAGAACGCGGGCACAGAAGGATCAGTAGTTGTTGGTAAACTCATGGATGAATTTGGATCCGACTTCAACAAGGGATTTAACAGTGCCACTGGAGAGTACGTTGATATGATCGCTGCTGGTATCGTTGATCCTTTCAAGGTCGTCCGCACTGGTTTGGTTGATGCCAGCGGTGTTGCCTCATTGTTAGGCACCACTGAGGTTGCCATTGTCGAGGCATCAGAAGAGAAGGGACCAGCAGCAGGCGGTATGGGTGGCATGGGAGGAATGGGAGGAATGGGTTAGTACATGTATCTCGAACGTCTCAATGCACTAAGCGCTAACAGTTTCGCAGGAATGATGTAAAAAGCCATTGGTCAAAGCTAAATCAAATACCCGTCTGAGCCTCATCTGTTTGCGCAATTGCTACCAGACAATTTGGTACCGGACATAACATTGTATAATACCCCACTCACCCTTTTTCGTTATTCGTCTTGCATGGCATTACGGAGCGATATGATGTGTTTAAGAGACCATGACCATGTAAAATAATGAAGCTAAAATGATATATAAAAAAAGTTAAATTTATGTTATTGCCTTCCAATGTGATCTGACTGACTTAATCTTCAAGGGTGATTTTGTTGATTGCGTGTATTGCAGTTAAGAGAGTACCTAAAAGGTAAGATCTTAGATTTGGCAGAAAAGTCTATCTTGCATCATTACTTGATGTCCCTATGCAGCGTCGTGTAAATTGATCCTTCTGTCTAACTAGGTATTTGTGTGTGAGTTATTAATACAATTATATTTTATAATAGACGGGATCTATCTGTCTAGGATTTATTCATATTAGATTAATTATATTTATAAGTTTATTTTTTAATATATTCAACTTGGTATATAATATAATATTTCAGATGTGTAGATAAATATATTTTTCTTTTATAAAAGATGCCTTGAAAGATATTAAGGAATAAATTCTTTAACTCTCTGTTTAATTATTGATACTATACTATTCATACTCAGTCAGGAACTTCCTGCTTTAGACCTCAACTTAATTCTCAATCTCTCCTTTTTAAGAGAACCTCTTGAGAACCTCTTATTATATTATTAAAGGGGTAAACGTTCCCGTCAGTTGCCAGCTTTCATTGTCCAAATTGAGTGAGCAGCACGACAAGGTATTCTTAGCGTCCCACTCAGGTGATCACACACCGGCAAGCAACCCCACCAATTTCTTGACCTTCATCCCCGTTCGCAAAATCCGAAACTCCCAAAGATAAACATCTCCCAAGCTTTTCTCTCTCGCTCTTCCTAATATCTTGCAATTACCACACCATACAGTGGACTTTGAAAAGCAGGTCTTTTAACAATCTCAAGGTATGTTCCTCATCCGGGGCTTGATTCTGACTCAAAGTCGTTCGATTTGTTTATCTGTCTCGTTGTCAAGTATCAAGTATTTATTCGCTGACTTTCGGTCGATTTTTTAGCTTCTACAAGACAACTCGTCGCATAGACTCCCTTGACATCATGGTATGTAGCTTCTGTCCTGTTAGTTGCCATGCAACCGTTTACTAATAGAGCTTGATTTTACAGTCTAACTCAGGGTCAGTTCGCCCCACTACCAACCCTCTACCGTCAATGATTTGCGGTGACCACCGACCTTAATGCGAATCTATTCCCACCTTTAATCCAAGCAGAATCGCAGAGCGCTAGTTGACAAGTTTCTGCAGTATCACTGTCGATGATGAATGTATCGAGAAGTTCAACGAGATGAAGCTTCAAAAGAAGATCAAGTGGATTGTCTACAAGATCAACGATGAAGGCACAAAGGTTGTTGTCGACAAATCCAGCGAGTCGGCAGAATGGGAACCATTCCGCGAGGTTCTCGTGAATGCGAAGGCACTCAACAAGAACGTATGTGTGAAAGCCTCTGTAAGGAGCAAGCGCTGATAGACACCTGCAGAAAACTCAGGGTAAAGGCCCCAGATACGCTGTCTATGACTTCAACTACGATTTGGCCAACGGAGAGGGACAGAGGTAATCCTAGCAGTATTTGACTTTTATGGATCATGGACTAATATTTATCAGAACCAAGCTTACTTTCATTTCATGGTCCCCTGATGATGCCAGTACCTTTGTAAGTTCTGCCGTCTTATATCACCTTCTGGCACTAATAAATTCTCCAGCCTAAAATGATGTATGCCTCCACCAAGGAATCCTTCAAGCGTGCCCTATCCGGACTTTCGGGCGATGAACTTCAAGCAAACGACGAGGCCGATCTCGAGGAGAATGAGATGTTGAAGACAGTCAGCAAGGGAACCGCCGCTCTCAAGGCATAGATACAACTTATGGTTTTGGGAACGAACATGACAGGAAGGAACGCAGTTTCATTGGGTGCTTATTGCCTACGATGATATGCATGGGTGTGAATTTATTATTCTGAAGACGGATTGATCATTTCAGCGTGACGATTTTTGAAGACATTAAAAGCGACTTTTGCGAAAGTACCTGTTTCTTAATTGGCGAATGTGCCTGTGCTTTTCCAAATGTACAAAGCTGAACTCCTTACTATGTTCTCCAATGAATTTATGCACATCATTTACTGCTACCCTCCCAGGCTTTCTTGAATACCTCAAACACTTTGTTTCCTTGCTCCTCGTTCCTCAATCTTTGTACCAGGAAGCCCTGTAAATCACTCCAGAACTCTTCCCCAGCAAGACTTTCCAATCCACTAGGCCCTTGTGCAACAGGTGCCTCAGCTCCCTTCTCGGGGGTATCAACTTTCCTTACAGAAGCAGCTCCACCCATTACCATGATGCTGAATTCGACCTTGGTTTCTTCTTCGCCAATAACATCTTTCAAAACTTTCGCATCCCCGACTGGCTTTTTATTGTAAAGTATTCTTAGCTTTTCCACAGGAATCCCTTCTTTCTCGGATAATGATTCTTTCAAATTAAGAATCGAAGTATTTGGTGACAGGGCGGAGAGTGTCACATCTAAAGGAGGATTTCGTGATGATTTGAGTGATACGTAAATGCTACGTTCTTGTCCTGGAGCCAACTTTTGTCGTTTCGCAGGGGGTTTCCGCATCTTTGGAAGGATAGTCTATTGTTCTCGTTAGTGTGTAGAGAGGTTAGGTAAAGAAAAAGGAAAGTGTAAGTGATGCAAAGTAAGAAGGGGGAAGGAAAACGTACTGCCCCTCTTGAGGGATAATTTTTTGGATCTTCAACATGGTCGGCAGTGATTTTGAAAGGTCTCGACTCAAGAGTCTGAATAAAAGACTTGGCGAATATAAGTTCAGTCATTTTGATAAATAATCTGAAAGGAAGTTAAGTAAAAGTTGAGGAGAAGGTTTGGTGTTTGGAGTTTACAAATTAACAAATCAACAAATTAGTACGTACTCGAACATTCAACAAGTATGACCATAGCACAGTCAGTAAAAAGACTTGGCATCGGCGTATCGGCGCCCGAGCTTGATAAGTTTAGCATGACGCTAAACCTTATCTGCGAGAAAATTATATTCGTTTAGAAAAAAAGTTCCCTCAAATCGCATTTGCGCATCCTCATATTCAACTCATAATTCTTATTACGAGACTCCAGAGAGAAAGCATTCAAAATGGGTGTAGGAAGACGTATGAAGAAGCAGGGCATGCCCGAACCGCTCGATGAAGCACATTTCACCAATCTAAAACGCAAAGCTGGAATGTCTGTAGCAGAATCGAGAGCAGAATCATTGCAATATGCTCCCGATTCCAACAAGAAACGTCGAACTTCAGACAAAAAGTTAAATGGAGCTATCAATGGCAAAAAGAAGTCAGCGGCGCCAAGTGCAACAAAGGGAAAATTTACAAACTCATTACCAGTTCAGAAACCTTCCGGAAAAAAGTCGAAACAAGCTGGCGCTGCACCATTACCCATGTCAGATGAGGAAATGGAGCATGGTGATTCTGATGCGGCAGATCTCATGAATGACGAGTTTGACGAATTGGATGTTTCCGATGACGACGGGCCTGGTCTCCCAGATGATTTCCTTGGCTCGGATAGTGGAAGTGATGTTTACGATTCGGATGATGATCATCCAAAAGCAATGTTCTCCGAGGATGAGGATGAGTCCGACGCCGAAGAAAAACTCACTGCTGCAAATATTGCAGGACTCTCAAGGAAATTAGATGAGCAACAGGCGGAGGAGGCGGCAGAGGCACAAGCCGAGTTAGAAGAAGCTGCCATGCAAACGAACATTGCTGGAGATAAGCCTCATATCTTCGACAGCGATGGGGAAGGAGAAGCCCCCAAGGCTAATGCTTTATTAGCTCCGGATCTACAACTTTTGCGATCCCGAATCAATGATACTATTCGAGTCCTAGATGACTTTTCAAACCTTTCCGAGGAGGGTCGATCCAGAGCCGAGTACACAGCTCAATTGATCAAGGATATTTGCGCATATTATGGTTATTCGGAATTCTTAGCGGAAAAGCTCTTCAACTTGTTCCCACCCAAAGAAGCTTTTGCATTTTTCGAGGCCAACGAAACTCCAAGACCCGTAGTCATCCGAACAAATACCTTACGAACACATCGAAGAGACCTTGCACAGGCGTTGATCAACCGCGGGGTAGTCCTGGAACCAGTAGGAAAATGGTCCAAAGTTGGCCTGCAGATTTTTGAGAGTGCCGTACCATTAGGTGCCACTCCAGAATATCTTGCTGGACATTATATTTTACAGGCCGCGTCTTCTTTTCTCCCCGTGATGGCTCTCGCCCCTCAAGAAAATGAGCGTGTCCTCGATATGGCATCCGCTCCTGGTGGAAAGACAACGCATATTGCCGCATTGATGAAGAACACGGGTTGCATTTTCGCCAACGATAGCAACAAATCTCGTGCTAAGGGTCTGATCGGTAACATTCACCGCCTGGGTGCTAAAAATGTGATTGTGTGCAACTATGATGCAAGAGAGTTTCCCAAGGTCATTGGAGGTTTTGACCGTGTCTTGTTAGATGCACCATGTTCTGGTACTGGAGTCATCGCAAAGGATGCTAGTGTGAAGACAAACAAGACGGAGCGAGATTTCCTCATGCTTCCACATTTACAAAAACAACTCCTCCTCTCAGCTATCGATTCAGTTGATCACGCAAGCAAGACTGGAGGTTATATCGTTTACTCGACATGTAGTGTTACGGTCGAGGAGAATGAGCAGGTTGTACAATATGTGCTCAACAAAAGGCCAAATGTTAAGCTTGTGGAGACTGGCTTAGCTTTTGGTAAAGAGGGCTTCACGTCATACATGGGCAAGAGCTTTGACAAGAACATGAAGATGACGAGAAGATATTACCCCCATGCTTACAATGTTGATGGTTTCTTCGTCTCTAAATTCAAGAAGACTGGTCCATCACCAAAGGGCAGTGCTGGCGAGAAGGAGGCTAGGAAGGAATTTGATGAACTGGATGTTGATAAAACTCCTATCAGAGAGACTGAGGAAGAGGATGCTTTCGGAGGGTGGGATGAAAATGAAGATGAAGAGTATATGGAGAAGGCGAGGAAGAACACCCTGAAACGCAAGGGTATTGATCCAAAGGCAGACAAATCAAAGTCGGATACCAAAGTAGAGAAGACCAAGAAGGAACAAAAGACTAAGGCAGATACAACCGAGAAGGAGATTACAGGGGAGACTAAAAAGGAAGAGGCCAAAAGGGATGGAACCACAAAGACAGATACCACGAAGGAGAGCAAGGAAAAGAAGAAGAAAGGAAACAAATCCAAATAGGGTAGTAATTTAAAAGGTTTCATAAAGGGGGTTGTATGAGGTTCTGGCCAGAAATGGCGTTGGTTGCATACACTGGCGTTTTGGGTTTGGAGGAAAAAGTACCACTAGCTTCCTTCTATCTTCTGGCAAAATACGAAATTTTCAAGCATTCGCTCCAGACCTAACTTTCTTGCTTACTCTCAGCATGTTCATGAGTGATAATGATAATTGGGTTAAGCATGAGCTCTCTTCATACCCATATCCAAGATATCTCATTCTGCCAATAGTTGGAATAAAGTAAGAGGTCACGTGACCAGGGTGAATAGGCCGTCAGGGCAAAGCGATTAAAGATACCGACCTGCGACCAATGGTACTCATCAAATGCCGGAGCTCATGATGACTTTCACAGGAGAAAGCGGCTCTGCACAGTGGCTCGCAATGTCGTGACGCAAGCCCGTCCGTCCGCTCATTTCATACTCCAGGTTATGACTTTCTGATTCACATTCGATAGTTTGACTAGAGCAAAGAACTTGTTTAGTTTGCGGCGTCATCAGAAGTGATAGGAGTGGTGCAGTGATTTCTTGGACCGATGCTAAAGAAATCAAAAGGTGGCCGTCTATCTACGCGTAGATTATATTTCGTACCCGCCGTATCACCATGCTCGCGGTGAGGGGCAAGTATGTTTGGGGCAGAGGCGAATCCAGGTATTATTCCTACGAGTGAAACAATCACATCAAGTAGGCTCAGCCGGCAGCAAGAGCAGGACCTTGTGACCTTCATGGCTGTCTGACTATACTTCACATGAGACGGAAGTGATGCAGCTTTTGCCGAGTGTTTGATGTACAAATGCAATTATGCTTGGAATGATAGCGCTGTTTAGTCGTATGAATATAAATCTCTAACCCCGCCTTTGATCTCTCTCCGCATATAATCTGCCGCTATGTACTTAGTATCCCATATACCTCTTTCGTGAGAGATACGTATCATTACGATAGAAACCAGAGGGCTTTAGTAAATGTGACTCCCTTCAAAACCTCCTCAAGAACACCTCTTCACAAAATTTCTTGATCGGTGTGATCAGTCAATCCATTCACCACCCTCCTCATCACCTTCGAGGGTCTCTTCTTCCGTAGATATAACGCCTTCCGTACTCTCTTCGATCGGCCCTTTCTCTTCTTCTTCATCATCCTCCACCTATTCATCCTTCAGTCCCACAACATTTTTACTCCTGAAATACGTCAACCAAGCTTCACGGACATTTCTTCGCCATGAAGCTAGGTAGAAGGAAGTAAAAGCAAGAGCAACCCATGAAAAAAAATGTAATCATCCGCGCAGAGTATCTAGCGCATGGAATGTTTTGCTTCCTCAAACAATAAGGGGATATGGCCTCGGCTACTTAATGCCCATGCAAGTTTCCGGACAGAACACAGCCAATGAGACCAAATAATCGAGTGGTTTTCTCTAACCCACGTTTCTTTGCTCCTCCCTTTTTCTCTTCAAAATGCTGATCTCAGTACATGAGTTATCATATTCCTATCAGGTTGTCATAAAAGAAGAAATGTACTCAAATACCTGATAAAAGCAGTGCTTGCCAAGAATCTCACCTATGGTCGCCTTGTCAGCCCGCACAAGTCTTCTTGTTGGCAAACATCCTGGGCATTGCGAATATATGTCGCTTAGGATCCAAAAGGATATAAACATAATTGTGTTGTTATAGTGTCAACCACCTATACCATTCCATCGTGTCTATAATTGGAATTCTCCAGTCCTCAACTTCTATTTTTCTAAGAAAGAAAAGCACTTCTGCGAATGGTACCTACGCTTCCTCAGATCGCAAGTCTTGCTCGGGTGCATCGCGTGAAAAATGTCTTCTTGCGATTTGTATAATGATTTTGTCGTCGTTTCGTTTTCAGAGTTAGTCAACTCTACATATTCGTCCAACGAAGCTAATTCTTCTGGAAAGGAACATCCGCGCCGAATCCATGGTTAAGATCATTGTTGGTGACGAACGGAAAATCTGGTGGTTGAACGAAGATCTCCTGTGTGCTCATTCGATCGTATTTAAGCGCGCCTTCCAAGGGAAGTTCCTGGAGTTCAAAGAGAAAGTAATAGTACTCGAAGAAGAATCACCAAAACCTTTCCATCACCTCGTTGGACGGGTTTCGGTTCTCCAGCATCATAAATCACATGACGACCTCATTTATTCCTGTCTTCGTCTCGAAGAATGGGCCGCTCTAGTCAAGCTATCGCAGATGTCTATGATGGATTATCTGATGCAGGCTGCCATAGATCGGTACAATAAATGCAAAACTCCACATGATTGGCCAGAAGATATCATGCCATGCACTGATGTCGAAGAAGTCAAATACATCTGCGATCATATCTCGACTTCGACTTTGAGGTTAGGCATTGTTCACGGTCTTGCTGCAACTTTTTTGAAAAGGAAAATGCACGAAGACATGTTTGAGCTTTGGTATTTGTCCATGAGTTGCTATCCTGATCTGATCCACGATGTACTCTACGAGGTAAAAATGCGTTTGGAGGAACCTAAAGCTAGCAGCATAAAGGAGGATTTCGTGAATTTGGAGCGCACCGAGGCTTATGATAGTCCTTTTCTCGTGGAGTAATGATAGTTAGATAGCTGAAATTGTGTTCTAGTATGTGTTTCGCGCGAACATAACTTTTGTTCACATCATCTCGATCGCTGCTGTACCCAACTTCTAGCAGTATTCCATCACAAGTAAACGGACCCAATGAAGCGAATTGACCCGCCTTTGTGATTTGAAGTGCTGGGTAGATAACAAGGGGAACGATCATTTCCCGAAATCATAGATTTTATGATTTAAGCTAGAGGCTCACGAAATGCTTCTGATAGGATGTCATTTACTTAAACTTCAAGAGATAAAAAATGGCAAATCTAAGGGAAGAATCTCGTGATCACTCGTATCACTGTTTTTATACTTGGAAAGACCATGATCTCGTGGCTTGGCATGGGATAGGAATGTTAATCGACAAATGGGGAAATCATTGGCCTAATAGTATTATTGCTGATCGATCACAAACGTCCAAAAATCCATCCGATTTCCACTTCAGCGAGGCTCCTACACAATTTGCTGATCTATTTAACCATGCTTCACCACCTAGTATAAGCCAGTCATTCATGATCTAAAAAATGCTTGATCCAACTGACATGTATGGTAATGACGGATTGGAATTTCCAAAGCTTTTTCAACGGCCTATGGATCAAACAACCAACCACTAAGGGCAGAGTATGCCACCGTCGCTAGTTGAAATCACAGATGCTTATTAGCACAATGAAAAGCTTCAACAGCCTTAATTAAGAAGCGATGCATTAAATTTATCCTTATTTGCGTCGCTATTATTTGTGCAGGAATCTGAATGCATATCGTATCGCAATAGCAATGAAACTTGAAGGGTGTCATGAGCACATAGAACTTAAACAACTCCTTCCAACCCCGCTCGCGGATCAATAGGGGATTTTTAGCGAATCGAACACACGATCCCACCGATATTCCGTGATGTGATTTGTGCTGTGTCCTTCACCCGTATTTCTCCTCCACTCAGGATACCATTGGTCCGTGAAATCAAATTTGAATTCCTTCAATTTTGCTTCCACCTCCTCCGATTGATTTACATTGATGTTAGATGGTTCCAAATTGGTAGCAATAGGAAATGGCACCCTTCGTCGCCTGGCCCAAGCCAATGCGCCGCCTTCTCGGAAAGCCTTTGAATTTTGGGGGAAGATGTCTTTTCCCGGAATCATTCTCACGGGATCATTAACACTTTTCTTGGATTTTCCAGAACCAACCACGTAAAATCGCCTGTATTTGTCCAGATTTGCATAGGCCCAACCTGCAAACCAAGCGACTAGCTTTTTCTCATTATTCTGATCAATAGACGGAGGGGCAAAAAGTAATGGACTCCGCGACTCTTCCTCAGATGGATCACAGTCGAACGGGGAAAAATTAGCTGGAAGATCCTTGCGGAGCATATCACAAAGAAGCCAATACAGATCAAGTCTCGCCTCACACTGTTCGTGACTTAATCCCTTCGCGCTTAGCTTGGCAAGCATTGATGGGTCGCCACTGAGGTTTTTCATGAGTTCTTGTTGCTCCTCAACCTTGGAAATAAAAAGTTCCATGAGGAAATTTGGCAGTTCGTGGCAGCACAATACTCTAATTGACCCATTTATCGAACTTTTGAGCTTTTTTTGATACCATTTAAAGAAGTTAAGTGTCATAACCGGTTCTGCGACCAAGAAACTCGGTGTAAGAATTATGGCATACCCTAAAGGCAAGAGGCGTTTTGTTGCAATTTGGCCCAATTCTGGTTTCTGGGTGATGTTGGAGAACGGCATCTTCGATGTACTATCTTGGATGCACCAAAATGTGTGATTCATCCCTTCCGTTGTCATTCCATGAACCAGATCTGTGTCGGAAATCAGACTAAGCGCAGATGAGTGTATCAGTACAGCTCCAGTGTTGACATTTTTCTTGAAGTGGTTCCAGCATCCTGGCTTCTGATAATTGTAAATTTTGCTGTATATTGAGCAGCTCCTAAGCCATGATGCTATCAATTCCGCGGTAGATTGTTTCGATGCAGGAAATATCAAACAAAAGTTAAAGATAGGTCTCTTGGCTTTTTGGTCCTTGACTTTCTGGTCCTTAGGTTTTTGATCTATTATTAGTTTTTCGTAATCAAGATGATGGAAATTTTTCATTATCATATCTCTGTAAGAAAGATCCGTCGATGAATTTTGGTTGATTGTCGAAGATTCGATGGAACTTAGTATACGGCTCTGAGATTCAAATACCAAATACTTCAGCTTAGCATCGGTAGAAAGGCTAGGCGCTGCATCTAAAAACTTCCATTCTCCGGCTGCGACTGGATAAAGTAGAATGACATAATTGTCGGAAACACATGCCAAACCAGATATCCACAGGCAGAGATATTCAGCTATGTTGTTGACCATATGGCATCCAGCTTGGTCCGTAGAGTCGGCACTGATATTCTGTTGCCAGTAGATAGATTGTTGAATGTGACCGTATTTTGACTTGAAATCATGCACCGTACAAATTTGGTCGAACTTTAGAGTCTCTGCACTCACGAAGGCTTTTGTCCAACCTGAATCATCCTTCGGAAGGCTTGTAAAGTTGAGGTTGGTTGTTTGAGCTTGTGGACCAAACGTGACTGCTTTGATTTTGGTACTTGCGCTTTGTACCTTCCCATTCATTAAATCATCAAAAGGTAATTGTTCAGCCTCCTGATAATTTGGCTCAAGCGGAGGAAGATCAGGCGCTGCGTCCATCTCGACATCTATCGCATCGTCGTCACAAGATACCGGAGTATTTTTTGCATTATGCAGTGGCGGCTGTGAACTTTTTTCCTTTGAAATTTCCAGATCGACTACATTTGAGTGAACATGACTCGTAAAAACTACGGGATTATATTGAGCCTGTTGGTGCTTGAAAGAACAGTCCCTATCCAACTGACAGCGACCTTGATTCCAATACTTGCAAAAAATAGACTTCAATGGTATAGAGCCAGGTTTCGGTGCCACGGGAAAATCATTGTCGTTTGAATGGGCTAATTTGCAGTCATCTCCTTTCTTGCAATTATTCTCAGAGTACCAATAATAACAGACCATTTTTGGACCATTTACACTATGGGACGCCTGGGATTTCCTTGGCATGGTTTTAACAGACGAGGCCGGCGCTAGCCATCCAGGAGGCGGGCTCCTCACTGGGATATTGCTGTTTGAATCGTGTAATTCTCTACATGTGTCACGACGTCGGCAATTCCCATCTAAATTGTAGAAGAAGCAGATTTTTTTCTGTGACTCAAACCATCCATCGGGGGCTAGGGCAATAGGAAGTCGGGGATCGTCGACGTGAAGATATTTACAATGACTATTATAGCACCCTTGTGGCTGGGTAGTGAAGAAGCATCTTGTTCGTTGCTCGTACGGGATATGCTGTACGTCCTTCCATGACATTTCAGCCGGGTGCAGAGCAGGTCGATGGGAGTCTTCTTGCTGCTCATGATTTGGCGTAGCTGGTGGCATTCTTCGGTTTTCCTCTTCATTCTGTGGAGCAGAGGAAGTCCTCCTAAGAGCCTCCGGTTGTTGCGCAGATGAAGCTTTTGAAGGATTGATCAACCCACCAGGGATAAAAGCAAGATCTGGTGCTTTTTCCGCCATCGTTCTACCAGCTAGTTCCGCTTTTCTGAGGATGTGTCTGGTTTTGAAATGCCGCTGGTCTTTCGATGGATCTGCAGCAGCTTCAATCAAACTCGCTTTTTGTTTCCTCGGAGCTTTACCGCTGATGAATACATTTTGTGAGGGTAGAGAAGAACCTCCACGCATGGCACCTCCTCCTCGAATTTTTAGTATACCTCTAAAGGATGAAGACTTCGTGGCGGCTGCTATCTCCAGGGTATCAGTGGCGCTTGGCTTTGAAGCAGCTTGCTTTTGTGATTCCTTCTCTGGTCGGGGGGCACTTTTAGAAGATGAGGCATCCAATTTTGCCTTTTTCTGTTGATTTACAAACAGTGCTTCATCAGAAGATGAGTCCGAGTCGTTTTGTACACATTCCTGAATCTTATAAAAGGTCAGTTAGATATTTGCGCAACTTTGCAACTCGCCGACATACCTCAGATTTCTTGGTAGTTTGAACTTGCCACTGTCTTTCAGAATTCCTTTCGCCACAGGGCGCAGCTGCGCTAACATTTGGACATAGAACTGTGGACTCTTCTTCGCCGGCATCTGCATCCGAGTCGTGAGGAGAGACAACTATACCCTGGCGCTTCCTCTTTTCACGTCGCAAACGACGACGTCGTAACTTACCATCCTCAGCCCTTTTTTTTAGAGCTTCAAGCTTTCTGATGTCATATGGTGCATCCAAACCCTGAAGTTCACGAGAATGTCGTGTTTTCCAAGCATCAAGAATGGCTTTGCCCAATATGTTCATTCTCGGCTCCCACTGTGAGATAAAAAAATATTAGCAGTATTTTCAGGATGAGTTTTGATATCACGAGTATTTACAGATGATGCTTCCTCTGGAAATCCCGCCCACCTAATCAAATACAGCTGTTGACTGTCTTCCGATTTTTGGGCCAAAATTCGTTCAACCGTGAATTCGTGATCTGAAGGATATTGCTCCTCATCATCCGTCGATTCTAATGATAATTTGGAAATTTCGTCTTCTTCAAGTAAGGTGAAGAGCTTTGTATCCGCTTTTTTGGACGACATTTTGCACCTATGAAATTACCCAAATGGACGGGGTATGAGCAAAGGATAAAAGAAGATGGTTAGGGAAATACAATTTTTAGGAGTTGTTCAATGTTGAGTAGATTCAATTTTGGAGGTCAAACCGCAGAGGATGTGGTAGGAAGAGGTGCAGTGCAGTGATTTGATTTAGGCGGATAAGAGGAGAGATCGTGGAAGATACATGATCTTTATTGAATTAAAATGAGAAGAAAAACCATAGATGGGAGACGGTAGATGAGTGATGGATGATGGAATATTCTCTTGATTCCCTCGATGTTGATTGGGTGTAAGACCATAATTCATCAACTTCCTCTTTATCATCATACATATCATACGAAAATCAACCGAGACCGTGACCAGAAACGATCAAATAAAGATATTGTCACGTGATTGTGTACCGTTACGCGGACGAGGTGAAAGGTGAAGTTTGAATTGAAAAAGCTCCAACAATTATCTCATTCTTAAACCCTCTGATTTAATTATTGTCGACTTGCCGACACCAAAACCTTGCTATACACGAGGTTTACCCGGTGGGTAATGGAAAATGAGAAACTCGCTTAAGTGAGTCGCGATCTTGATAATCTGATTGGTTTAAAATACCCCGGTAAATAATCTAACAAAAAGCTTGATATAAGCCTTATAATTATAACTTCGATCTTTTTTCAACTTAACTCAATTGAAATCATTCAACTTTATTTATTAAGGGCCTGCGCCCCCCGGACCCTTAGCTTTTCGAGATAGTGTAATGAAAATTTAAGATTTAAAAAGTTTATAATAAATTAAATATTAAATATATATTAGAGTATAGATAGAATATCGATTTGTTTTTAATAATTAAAAATTAAATTGTTTTATTTAAAAATAATAATTATAATATCATTTAATATTATTATTTATAATTATAATAATATTTTATATTATTTGTATTATTTTTAATATTATTTATATTATTTATATTATTATTATTATTATTATTATTATTATTATTATTATTATTATTATTATTATTATTATTATTATTATTATTATTATGTAACGATCTGGTCGAGGCAGCGGCTGCCTCAGGTTTTCGTATGGTTGGTAGTTGTAGGTTAAGGCTAATAATCACTGGTTATCCACTCGAAGGTGAATACGTTACTAGATCAATTGGAATGTAGGTAAACTAATTGATAACTAAGTTGAGCACGAAGCTCCTAAACTATGAAACTATTCTGACTATATACTAATCCATTTTGGGAGCCTACAGGAGCCCACGCTCCTGGAGGCTCCATCACGTGACTAGGATCAGACCATATGTCCGAGCTTGCTGAAGGTGGGGAGACCATACGAAGCGGTTGCCATACAAATTTGTATACAAGTTGCTTTGCTTTTCAACAAGGTCAAAGCTCATAGAGACAGGTTGACTGTTACCTCGTGACACTCTATAAAATGATTTCGTGACATATTATTATTATTATTATTATTATTTTGAATTAAATAAAATGAATTAAATAAATAAAGTTAAATTAAATAAATTGAATGAATTGAATGATTTCAATTGAATTAAATAATTTCAATTGAGTTAAATTAAAAAAAACTTTAAATTAGATTTATTTAAGATTATAAAGTTTATATTAAGTTTTTTATTAGATTATTTACTAAGGTATTTACTAAAGTATTTATTAGAGTATTTTAGACCAATCAGATTATTAAGATTGTAATTTATTTAAACGAGTTTTTTATTATTTATTAAATAAATCTTACATATAACAAGATTATAATATTGATAAATTAATAATTAAAATAATTTAAAATTTTGATATAAAGAGTTTATTGTAACGATCTGGTCGAGGCAGCGGCTGCCTGAGGTTTCGTATGATTGATAATTATAGATTAAGGCTATTAATCACTAGTTATCTATTTGAAAATGAATTTGTTACTAGATCAATTGGAAAATAGGTAAACTAATTGATAACTAAATTGAGCATGAAGCTCCTAAACTATGAAACTATTTTGATTATATATTAATGAATGGAAAGGAGCTTCGTGGAGTTCTAGAGCTTCAAAAAGCTTTTGGAGCTCTAGGAGCTCTCCAAGCTTCTTCTTCTTTCCTGGAATACTTGTCCTAGGAGCTTTCTTTTAGGAACTACGGCCTTAGGATACGATATCCTCTAAAATGATTGTCCTATTACAGTCAATTAGCTAGGACACTTGTCCTATCCTAATATGGTTGTCTAGGATACTTATCCTAAGAATCCTGAGGTTCTAGGCTCAAGTGATTGGGCCCTTTGAAAACAACGGTTAAATCATACCCCCCCTGTAGTCGGCCTATAAATCACCGACATCAATAATACTACTATAATGAAAACCGTAAATCGTGACATTTATCTTTATTGAAAAATATTTCTTTTAATAATTTATACACTATAATAATTTCTTTTAAAAATATTAAGATTAATATTTTTATAATTAATATTATTTAATATAATATAAGTATTTAATACTTTATTAATTTATTTATTATAATCAAGAGGTAATTATATATTACTTTTATTATTAAATCTTTAAATTTTGATAATAAAATTATAAAGTTTTATAATATTGATTTTTATAATATAAATAATATTTTAATTATTAATTTATTAGCTTTATAATCTTATTATATATAAGATTTATTTGATAAATAATAAAAATGAAAACTTATTTAAATAAATTACAATCCTGATAATCTGATTGGTTTAAAATATTCTAATAAATACCCTGATAAATACCCTAATAAATAATCTAATAAAAAACTTAATATAAACTTTACAACTTTAAACAAATCTAATTTAAGACTTTTTTCAACTCAATTTAATTTAACTTTATTTATTCAATTCAATTTTACTAAAATCATTCAACTCAACTTTATTTATTTAATTTATTTTATTCAATTTAAAATAATAATAATAATAAATAATAATATAATAAGATTTTTATTTTAAATATCTGTCACGATTTACAGTTGAGATTATAGTGTGTTGAGAGGCAACAGTCAACCTGTCCGTATGAGCTTGGACCTCCTTGAAAAGCAAAGCGGATTGTATACAAATTTGTATAATAATCGCTTCATATGGTCTCCCCACCCTCAGCAAGCTCGGACATATAGTCTGATCCTAACCACGTGATAAGGAGCCTTGGGAGCTTCGAAAGCTCCTAGAGCTCCAGGAGCTTTTTGGAGCTCTAGAGCTCCACAAAGCTGCTTTACATTTATTAATATATAGTCAGAATATTTTCATAGTTTAAGAGCTTCGTGCTCAACTTAATTATCAATTAGTTTATCTATATTCGAATTGATCTAGTAACGAATTCATTTTCAAATGAATAATCAGTGATTATTAACCTTAACCTATAACTACCAATCATACAAAACCTCAGGCAGCCGCTGCCTCGACCAGATCGTTACAATATCATAAATAATAATATTAAATAATAATATAATAAGATTAAATAATAATATTATTATTATTATAAATAATAATATTAAATAATAATATTAAATTATATTATAATTATTATTTTTAAATAAAATAAAATAATTTTTAATTATTAAAACCAAGTTGATATTCTATCTACACTCTGATATATATCTAATATTTAATTTATTATAAACTTTTTAAAACTTAAATTTTCATTAAACTTTCTCGAAAAGCCAGGGGTCCAGGGGGTACAGACCCTTGATAAAATAATAAAAAATTTATTTTAAAGTATTTAATCTTTTCGAAATTAATAATTATAATTTTTTTTTAATAAATTTATTAATATCTTAAAGATATTATTGATTAAAAAATTTTTAAAATATTAATAGATTTATTACAAAAAATTATAATTATTGATTCTGAAAAAATAAAATATTGATTTTTTTTAATAATATATATATTTTGATTAAATAAAATAATAATAATAATATAAATATAAAAATATTAAAGACTTAATTTTATTTATTGAATTAATTTCAATAAATTATAATTATTAATAGTTTTTCAATTATTAATTCAAAAATCAAATAAAGATTAAAATATTTTAGACCCTTTGGAAATCCTATAATAATACTCTATATGCCTCTCATTTGATCGGTTTATAGATTTTAGATATAGATAAACAGAGAAGGGTCTAAGGATGAGATAATCCAACAGCATGTATGAAATATGAAGCATTGGTGGAGTGAAGATTATTATATCAGCCGCGCGCCTTGACATCAAGTTCGAAACCATCTGTTCGAACAGATAACCAAGAATAGGTATTAATATTAAAATGGACATTCCAGATAATTTTGGGAAAACTTTCATTTACTCAATCACTTGATACAAATCATTAAGATGTAAAATCTTACATCCTTCAAAAGGTTGTCAAAGGTTGCCTACCATATAGCACGCCTACCTAGATAGTCAGTTACGTTCCTTACTAGGTAGATAGATAGATGGGTAGATGTGTACTTAGCAAATCGTTAAATAGGCAGGCACAAAAGTGAAAAAGGAGGGCCAACTACATACCATATACCCTAGAGTACGTACTTGAAGTGAGTGAGGACCCCAAAGTGACTAAAACTTGAACATTTGAAGTAATAGGAATTGATTCTATTTATTTATTTATTTATTTATTTCATTTCATTTCTTCCTGTTATTTTATTGATATGGACTCAAATAATTAACGTCCCATTTAATACCCAAATAAGAGCATCGCAATCACACCAGTACCTCCGTAACGACCCCCCGGCTTCTCGCGTCTCCACTCCATCCATCCATCCATCGCAACAACGAAATCCGTCAACTTTCAAAAAACCCCCTCCCCTTCAATAATAAAATACTATTCCAACTTCAACATCAATCATGGCGAATGACGAATACGACGTAAGTACATCCATCAACTCCCATTCATCTTGCCAAACTTACAGGATATGCTAACATCTCTTGGATAGTTCCTGTTCAAGGGTAAATAACATCCCTCTTCTCTACTCCCCTCACAACCTTCTACCTCGCTCTGTTACTGTCGTTTCCTTGGTCGCTGACTTCGTTCCCTTCCCTCATAGTTGTCCTCATCGGAGACTCTGGTGTCGGTAAATCCAATCTTTTGAGTCGATTTACTCGAAATGAATTCAATTTAGACTCAAAATCGACCATCGGTGTAGAGTTCGCAACTCGATCCATTCAAGTGGATGCAAAGACAATCAAGGCGCAGATTTGGGATACCGCTGGACAGGAAAGATATCGCGCCATTACATCCGCTTATTATAGAGGTGCCGTCGGAGCTCTTCTGGTCTACGATATTAGCAAACACCAAACCTACGAAAATGTTACAAGATGGCTGAAGGAGTTGAGGGATCATGCTGACTCTAACATCGTCATCATGTTGGTCGGAAACAAGAGCGATTTAAGGCATCTTAGAGCTGTACCTACGGAGGAAGCCAAACAATTTGCGAGTAAGGAAGTCCTTTATCTACGAAGAGAATTTCATGTTGACCGTTGGCATTGCAGGCGAAAACAACCTATCCTTTATTGAAACCTCAGCTCTCGATGCGAGCAACGTTGAGCTTGCTTTCCAAAACATCCTTACTGGTATGACTCCTTTAAACATTTCGCTTTGATTCACAAACGCTAATAATATCTCCCATTTTAGAAATCTATCGAATTGTATCTCAGAAAGCACTCGACAATGGTGATTCTGCACAGGCCACTATCGGAAGTGGTACAAATATTACTCTTACACCCCCTCCTTCGGACGAGGCAGCGAAGGGAGGCGGAAAATGTTGTTAAGTAGCCAGGTGTTCTTACTATGCGCAGCTACGCGGACATATTGGTTGGTGGTTGATACAAAGGTGTGGCGTCTTTAAATGTCATTGCGGGAGCATGGGGGGTCGCGAAGTCAGGGCTAAGCAAAGCGCTCAAAGCACTCGATGAGCGGGCTCAAGGATATCTTCCCTTTTTTTTTCCAATTATGTTGTCCGGTGGTTCTTCCTCTCTGGGATTTCACGTCTGCAACGATCGCTACGCTTGTCTAATGCAATGGTTTTTGTCTTAATATGTCTGTCCTAACGATTCTTTCCTCAAAACTTTCTTCTTCCACTGCCTCCGCTGACTTGATCTTCGCCCATCTTCCTGATCTCTTCATTAGGCTTGACCCAAGCAGAACTAGCATCAACCATCCTGCCTGTGCCAAACTTGTTTACAGACCATTCGATAACGCCATCAAGCTCCGTTCTACTTTGTTCTTCGAGTGATGCCTTGTCAGCCTCCTTGCCCTGTGTCTCTTTGAAGGTTTGAACAGTATCCAAAAACTTTTGGCCATTGTCTAAGGATTTTCTGTCGCCACCATTCCCATGCTCCTCCTGCCACGCTTTCCAAGTCTGACCGCTCCTTCCCCAAAGCTTTGAATATATTTCTGACTCGTTGACATTGCTGTACCATGCTCTCGCGTTAACATAGTCTCCCTCGATTCGATGCAAAATTCCATGTAGATACATGCCTTCGAATGCTGGTGCCGACTGCATATGACGAGCTAAAAAGTGCGCAGATGGTAAGTCAAGATTTAAAATGTGTAGTGCAGTCTCTAGGGTTGGATGGAGTTGGAGGGGAGGCGATCTCGAAGGTAAGAGTTGGATCGTGGGGTGATGCAGGTGGGAGGAGTGGGGCAGGAATCTTAAGAAGTCGGGTTTGAATGGATTGGAAGGTTGTCATTATGGTTCTGTGTGCAGCCTTGCACGGTGATTTGAATGAAGAAGGTTGGATGAAGCAGATAGATAGCACTGAGGTATCGATGGGTATGTGCTGTTTAAAAACTCATACTACACTAGTAGGTTTTCAAAACTTGACGAGCTAGATTAGTGATATTTACCTGAATGGTAATCAAGACCAGAATTGGGGGACATCGTCAATAGAGAAGTACTAAGTAAACATAAACATATCCGAGACCCACTGATCTTACTTAGTAAAGGTCAAATGCAGGAACGAATGATGCCAAAGAGGAAGATCTTTATCTATGCATATCGTGTCATGTCGCATACAAGTAATCCCCCTACCATAAGATAATTATTTAGCCACAAGGCTGAACATGAGGCTGATCACGAGGCTGAAATTTCATCAATTGATGGAAGGGGCCAAGTGGCTGGTGATATTCATGGAGAATAATAACACTAGCAAGGATATATTGATAACGCGCTAAGATTAAGGCTGCGCTTACACTATCAAAAGAAATTCTTAAGAAACTTTGAAGATCTCAAGAACTTTTTTGCGCGCGCCCGGTCCGATATATCTACTACTTAATATACACAACACAACATATACAATGGCTTCTGTTTACAAGTCATTATCAAAGACCTCTGGTCATAAAGAAGAAATCCCCAGTGGTGTCAAGAAAAACAAGCAAAGAGTTTTGATCTTGTCTTCAAGAGGAATAACTTACAGGTAGATATATAAACTTGTGCCGATGCGATGCAAAAATCGCAGGAAAATGCTAACTGTACAAATTAGACACCGACATCTTCTCAATGACCTTGCGTCCCTACTTCCACACGGTAGGAAAGATGCGAAGCTCGATACCAAGTCAAAGCTTTATCAATTGAACGAATTGGCGGAATTATATAACTGTAATAATGTATTTTTCTTCGAGGCAAGAAAAGGAAAGGATCTTTACCTGTGGATGAGCAAAGCACCCAATGGACCTACCGTGAAGATGCATATGCAAAATTGTACGTCCATCTTGACATACCGCTGTGAGGGAAGGTCTCTAACAACACCTTAGTACACACCATGGAAGAGCTCCATTTCACAGGAAACTGTCTCAAAGGCTCCCGACCCATCCTCTCTTTCGATGCCTCTTTCGATAAGGAACCTCACCTTCGTGTACTAAAAGAGCTCTTTCTCCACATCTTCGGCGTGCCAAAGGGTGCTAGAAAATCGAAACCATTTGTCGATCATGTCATGGGATTTACTTTAGCAGATGGCAAAATCTGGATTCGAAACTACCAGATCAGCGAGACTGAACCATCGAGAGTCAAAGGTGCTGAAGAAGAAATTCCTGCAAAATCCACCTCGAAAAGCTCGGGAAACAAGGAGACAGAATGTACCTTGGTGGAGATTGGACCAAGATTTGTATTGACGCCCATTGTCATTCAAGAGGGAAGTTTTGGTGGACCGATAATCTACGAAAACAAGGAGTTTGTGTCCCCTAATCAAGTCAGAAGCGAGATCAGAAAGAAGAAGGCAGGGAGATACAATGCGAGGGCAGAGCAGGGTATCGAGAGACTGGCAAAGAAGGGTGAATTGGGTCTCAGAACGAATGGAGGAAGACAGGTGCCAAAGGATGCCCTGGATAATGCTGAGTTGTTTGCTTAGGCTAGGAAGATTCCCTAAATGGCGTTTGGTGCATGGAAAAGATGACAAGGGAGAAATTAAGAAATATTTGCTTGTTGCGTATAAGAATTTTTCCTTGACCAATCCAGAAATCTCCTTGAGTGACAACAACTGCATGAAATCGTTCATGGAAAAAAATTCAATAACACGAATACAGATGTGCAATTTTTTTATCAATGAGCTCATGCCCTTGTACCATCACAATCACAATCCCACACCCAATCATCAGCGCCGCGAGTCTCATCTGACAATCCACTGTATCTACTAGGGGCCTGCGCCCCCCGGACCCCTGGCTTTTCAAAACAGTCTAATGAAAATTTAAGTTTTAAAAAGTTTATAATAAATTTAAATATTGAATATATATCAAGGTGCAGATAGAATATCGATTTGTTTTTAATAATTGAAAATTTAAATTTTTTATTTAAAAATAATAATATTATTATTATTTATAATATTATTATTATTATTATTATTATTATTATTATTATTATTATTATTATTATTATTATTATTATTATTATTATTATGAGCTAAATGAGATAAATTAAATAAATAAAATTGAATTGAATAAATTAAATGATTTTAATTGAATTGAATAAATTAAATTGAATAAATTAAATTGAATAAATTAAATTGAATAAATTAAATTGAATAAATTAAATTGAATAAATTAAATTGAATAAATTAAATTAAATAAATTAAATGATTTTAATTGAGTTAAATCATTTCAATTGAATTGAGTTAAAAAAAAAGGTCCAGGTCAGATTTGCCTGAGGTTGTAAGGTTTATGCCAAGCTTTTTGTTAGATTTTCTGCCGGGTATTTTAGATCAATCAGATTGTCAGGATCGCGACTCACTTAAGCGAGTTTTACGACCTACACCGGGTAAATTACGTGTCGGCAAGCCGACATTCAGATCATCACTTGATTACAAGTATATTATCAATCAGACTTTATTAGTTTCTTTATAGAAATCAAATAATTATTGATTAGAATTATAAAACTATAAATAATTCATTAATTAAAAAATTATTATTTATATTTATATTTATATCAAATTTAAAACAAATAGAAATCAAAGTTATATTATATAAATAATATAATTAAGTGTTTAAGTATTGATTTATATTTATTCTCTAATTCCATTTCTGGTGTACAAGTCGGTCATGACCCACCCACACCAGACCTGGTAAGACTCCTGAGATTCCTCTCAGCACCGCACAAAAGGTATCATGAAATCGAAAGTTGCTGGAAATGACAAATCGAAATGAGACGTTACCGTAGACTAGAAAGTGAAATTGTCGGTTGTGCATCTCGGTATTGGGGAAAGCAAAGCTCGCTGGTTGAATTGCTGTCAATAATTTCTCAGGTTTCGTCAACCGTATTATCAAAGGTCGCGAGAATGGGACTTCTCATCGAGTCTTGGATTCATCTACTCGGGACTATCGATGTCCTCGTTGTCATCCTCGGCTCTCCTCTTCTTTCTTGAGGGGCTTCGGGTATTGCCATTGATAGAAGTTCCATGCTCTGAGGACACCGCAGCTGTCACGTATTTTCTCTTTTTTCCATTTACACCAATTTCATCCGTGGAAGATCGCAGGGCTAAAGCCGAGGCAGACGGTCCAGGCGTAAAGCTAGTTTCTGCGACCTTTCCAGTATTGTTGTCTCTAGATGAGAAAAGGTCATCTACCCTGACTGACAAGTCTGCGACCTCTTCGACGAGCCCGTCGCGCATTCCATCTAAAGTTTTCTTTTGCTCCCCGGCCTGCCTATTCAGATCTTGGACCGCATCATTTAGAGCCTTGACATCCTTACCCAGGGCAGCTAAGTTACTATAATTGGTTGTAACGCTTTTTGCGAGGTTAAGCTGGTCCTTAGTCAATGCATCCACTTCTTGGCGTAAAGACTCTGTTCCTGGATTACCTATAGCTGCCGGAGATTGTTTGCGGGTAGTTTGGCTTTCAAAAGCAATCTTTCGACTATTCAACTTCTCCAATTGAATCGTGTGGTCGGATTGTTGCTTTCTCAAATCGGAGATGATCCTTTCTGCATTTTTAAAATCCGGATAAAGCACTTCTAGCTGGCCCATCATGCTCTTCGCTAGATCTCCTGTCGATATGTTGATCATTCGGTTAGACAAATGAGTTATAGCAATAGTGTTCCCGTTTTGGTTATTGATCAAAGCATTGAGTCGATTATCCATCAGAGTTGACGATTGAGCGAGGGCATTTATATTTTTCAAAAGTTCATCCAGACCAGCTTGAAGAGCGGGAATTGATTCCGTTTTCTCTGTAGTAGTTTTGATCTGTTCTTCCATAGCCGCATTACTCTTTTTTAATAATTGTATTTCGGCGCCAAACTGCTCAACGCGTTGATTTATGGCTTGGTCTACCTGGCTCCGCTCGTGTCTGTACGTTTCGAAGGCCCTCTTGAAATCTGCAACATCTTGCGCTGCAGTGGAGAACGGCGACAATTTTGCAACTGCCTTGTTCATGCTGATAGAATCCACATTTTTAATAGAATCCTCCAACGTAGTCAGCCTGGATTCATAATTTAGCGTCGTGTTATTTGGCCACCCTTTGATTAGAGCAGCTTCCTGTAAAGAAGTACAGCTAGTGGATCTAAGAGAGGTTTCAATCTTGTCAAACCTTTCTTCATGGAGCTTTATGTCCTGTTTTACATCACGTAGTCCTGTCTGGATCACCCCAATCATTGCTGTGCTCGATCCAGTTAATGCCCTTGACAGGGCCTGCGGAGCCGAAATAGATGGAGTTTGAGGGATATGCTCCAGTCGAATGACCTTATCCTTGAGAGTATTTAATTCCCCCTGGCAATTTTCAATTTTTTCGAGGATAGCCTTGTGAGCGTCCTGGAGCACAACAACGCTTGTCTTATCATTCTCCAATCGACCAAGTCTTTCCAGAGTTGATGAGTTCAAGCATTCCAGAGAAGTCTTGTAAGGGCCAAATGACTTTTCAAGGTCTACAAATTTCTCTGCAAGTTGATGAATACCATCATCATTAGCTTTCACCGTGGCAAATTCTTTGCTAACCTGATGTTGAAATGTAGTCATCTCCTGCCGTGAAATGTTGATTGACGCTTCAAGCTTTTCTATAGAGTCTCCATAACTATCCAGACGGGATATCATCGAATCAAGTTCACTTCGGGTAGCTTGATGCTGTTGATCAAGCTTTGTATATTTGTCAGACAGATTTTGACATTCGCGCATTGTCCTCGCTTCGCTGCTATGAATATTCCCTGCAACTTGCGACTCGCTTTTTCCGATCTTGCTAATAACCTCACGATAATCGGCTTGAATGTCCCGGAAACGTCGTTCGCTGTCTTTATAATCCATACAAGCAATTTTCTTCTCAAGATCCTTCACTTTCTCCTCTAAGCTCCGGCAACGTTCTTGGAGAAGCTTCGAGTTGTCGGTGGTAGGAGCGGTTTTGATAATCAGGCGAGAGGCAATGGCCTTGGCTGCATCCCTTTGTAGACTCTTGGCTTTTTCGAGCTCTTTCTCTGTTGTATCAAGGACCTTTTCCGCCTCTATTTTGCGTTGATTTTGCACTTCCAGATGCGTAGGAAAGCCTTTCAAGGCGGAATACATGTTATATGTTTCCTCGACTTGCTCTTTCAGGCGTTCTTTCGCCGAGTTTCGTTCCTGATTCAGCGCACCTCGAGAATCTCCTTGGTCAGCGAAATGCATTAATGCATTGATAATATCCTCTAGCTGAGATTGTTCTACAACTGATGCTGATCCACAGGAGTTGATGGTAGCATCAATAGGGGCAGCCGTCATGCTGTTCGATTTCGATCGCGTCGTGTCCGCGATAGGATGTGGATTGTCTTCCGTAGGACGATTAGTTCCTATATCTTGTTAATTTCGATTACATAATCACATTGCTTGGGCCTGGTAGGTAAAGGCAGGACTAGTAGCATTTGCTTCAGAAAGGAATCGAATTCAAGAGGCACTCCATTTTTAACGACTTGAAATGAAAGCCGTAGAAATTATTGCTGCTCCCACAGAGTTTCTGATTGTCCAAGATACTTGAACATATTGAAAAGACTATCCTGGTACAGAGAAGTTTACTTCTCCGGTAAGCTTTTCTAATTAAGTTCTCACTACGTTGCAGTGACTTCTAATCCACTGGCGTTTCAAGGGTGTTAGGAACAAGAAAATGTTGAATGTTACTTGCCTTCTGATTCCGATCCAGTGACATTGGTTGTTTTTGTTACTCTTGTTGTCATCGCCGTAGGAGACGAGCTATTAGAGTTAAAACGTTGAGTGTTTGTCGAACTAATCTTCTCAAAAGAGCGACTCCCCAAATTGCTCCTGTCTTTGTTTCTCCTAGTACCATTATCTCTGCTATCGTGATGTCTATCGGGCCTATGATTCTCATAATTTTCATTGGTAACGTGCCTGTCTCTGACATCACGATATTTGTTCGATCTATCCCTCTCATAATCATGGTCGTCAGTGGGCCTGTCTCTGATATCATGATACCTATCGGACCTATGCCTATCATCACGGTAAGCATCTACTGGTCCTCGTGGAGATGGTCGCTCATCTGAATAATTTCGGCCAGACATTGCTGCTGAAGACCAAGGATGACTTCCTTGCTTATCGAAATACTCTGATGGTGAAATGTATTGTTCTTGATTTTTATTCAGCTATCATTGAGAACCCGTGAACTTAAGCCTTTGCTCAGTTAGCAACAGCCCAAGATGTTTTAATGATGAGTATTCGATACAACAGCTCATCATAGTAGATGTACTCAGAGTACGGGAGTGAAAAAGGCAACACTCTTTCTGATAGCAACATATTTCAAGGCAGAGAATAAGTTTGAGAGAGGGTATTTGACTTGAAAAAGACTTACGGAAAGTGTGGCTAGCAGTAAATGAGCCAGATCAAATCTGATTAGATGTTATGTTGATAACATCCTTGCTTGGACTGCAAACACAGAAATCCAGATATATTTGGTTTGTTTAGATAAATCCAGACCTGTGTTTAAAGTCCCATAGAGATTCGGTCGAGATTTCAAAATGCCAAGTTTGGGAGGAGAACTGAAGGTATTGATTGAAGGAATTGAAACTCAAAAATTGAACTTCTGAAGTCCAATATCAATTTTAGATAGGTAGCTAGAATAGGTTTGAAAAGTCCAAGTGAATTCCCAAACCACAATATCAATTTTCGATGGGAAGAGTTCAAAGGATCAAGGGATGGATTCTCAAAGCACAATATTAAGTTATGATTCTCTATTCTGAGATAACTTTGTGAGATATTTTTTGAGACTTTGTCTGGTGAATTTGAGGAGAGGTTGTTGTAAGTAAATTATAAGTTATGAGTGGTAGAGATTACTTTTTGCTCCAAGTTGGTTGTTTGAAGAAGTTGTAAACAAATTTTCTGGTAGACTGTGTAATCAACGTGATTGGACTCAATGTTTGGGTTTGAGGAGGTAGGTATCTAGTAGGTAGGTATGAATTGTACGTAGTAGAGGGAGATGGATAAATGAATAAGAAAAGAGACGAGAGAGGTATAAGTTATAAGTTTATCAAGTAAACACGCGCTCTTAAATAAAATTTATTAAAAAGAGAAGAGATGAATACATAAGAGAATAAGCTAGCAGGGTTACTGCATGTTTTCAAATTGAAGCTAAACTCCAAAACGCCTAGTGTGGAAAGTGATCGTTGTTAGAATCACTTAGGGATTGGATAAACTCACCTTTGATTTTCCATTGGACAACTAACTTGATTGATACTGCCTACCGACCTGCCTACCGACCTACCAACAGTTGCACCCCACCAGCACCTAACTCTCTAACTATCTAACTTCAGTGCTGGACAACCTCTTGTAATTGATTTTGACATGGGGAGGCCCAACTTTCAAGGGATTATCGTGACTTGAGTGGTCTAATACGTCGTAGCCGCCTCTTATGATTGGTTCTGATATACATTAATGGATGAGAGTTCTCATCATGCAACAGGAAAAGATTTGTTCACACAGTCAGTGGTAACTTCTTTTGATTCTGGGAGCCGTGAACATATCCATGCACTAGTAGTTATCACAGCCTTATTATATTATTAGTACTACACTGATACTTGTACCTATTACTACTACCCACTACCTACCGAAACTTTTTTTTATTGTAGGGGTCAGAACTTCCCTCCCGCCCTCGTCCATAACAATACTCAATAATATCGAAAACAATAACCACTTTTTACTTTTCCCCTCCACCTCCAAATACCTACCTACCTACCTACCTACCTACCTACCTCCCTCCCTCCCTCCCTCCCTACCTCTTTCAATCCTCCCACTCTCATCATATCGCAAATTCTTCGCCATGGCTGCAGTAAGCTTCAAATTCATTCTATTCTGTATCTTTTGACTCTACTTGAATTCGTACTTACAATTTTCTAGGCAATTCAGACCGTCTCGGAGAGCAAAGAGTTGCGCGGGCTCAATTTAATTGCTGCTCATTCTCATATTCGCGGTTTAGGTGTCGATCCAGATAATCTCGAACCACGCGCATCCTCACAGGGACTTGTAGGCCAGGAAAAGGCGCGTAAAGCTGCGGCCGTGATTCTACAGATGGTGAAGGAAGGGAAGATAGCAGGTCGAGCGGTTTTAATCGCAGGTCCTCCAAGGTATGCGATTTATACTCGGTCATAAAAATCTCATATTAACTTGTACCTGTCAGCACGGGAAAAACTGCAATAGCAATGGGAATGGCACAGTCTCTAGGTTCCGATGTGCCATTTACCATGTTGGCTTCCTCGGAAATATTCTCGCTCGAAATGTCAAAAACCGAAGCTCTTACCCAAGCTTTTCGAAAGTCCATCGGCGTGCGCATAAAGGAGGAGAGTGAGATGATCGAGGGAGAGGTCGTCGAGATACAGACCGACAGGAGTGTGACCGGTGGTACCAAGCAAGGAAAGTTAACCATCAAGACCACAGATATGGAAACTATATATGACATGGGCAGCAAGATGATTGATTCCATGACAAAAGAGCGTGTAATGGCAGGAGATATTATTTCAATCGACAAATCGTCGGGCAAGATTACTAAGCTGGGACGATCATATGCAAAGTCAAGAGATTACGATGCAATGGGTGTGGACACAAAATTCTTGCAGTGCCCAGACGGAGAGCTGCAAAAGCGCAAAGAGGTGGTCCACACTGTGAGCTTGCACGAGATCGATGTCATCAACTCGAGAACCCAAGGTTTCTTGGCTCTCTTCTCAGGAGACACGGGAGAGATCAGGAGTGAGGTTCGTGATCAGATCAACACGAAGGTTGCGGAATGGAAGGAAGAGGGAAAGGCCGAGATTGTACCTGGTGTTCTCTTCATCGACGAAGTTCACATGCTGGATATCGAATGCTTTTCATATATCAATCGCGCCTTGGAAGATGAGCTCGCACCCATCGTCATAATGGCAAGCAATCGCGGAAATTCCAGAATTAGAGGCACGAATTACAAAAGTCCCCACGGATTGCCTCTGGACTTCCTAGATCGGGTCGTTATCGTTAGTACTCATCCGTACGCCAAAGAAGAAATCCAACAGATCCTTTCCATCCGTGCACAAGAGGAGGAAGTCGATGTTTCCCCCGATGCACTCGCCTTGCTAACTAAAATTGGTCAAGAGACCGGTCTCAGATATGCTAGTAACCTCATCACAACATCACAACTCATCTGTGCGAAGCGAAAGGCGAAGCAAATTGGTATCGAAGACGTTCAACGAAGCTTCACTCTTTTCTTTGACTCTGCACGTAGTGTCAAATTCGTTACGGACTTTGAGAAGCGGCTCATCGGCGAGGAGGGAGGTGTGAACTTGTCAGTGACCAATGGTCATGGCGATGCAATGGAGCTTTCATGAGTTTGACGACGTTAATAAGATATGATAATTCGGCGTTGGGTCGTTCCTATTTTGCTGTGGCAAGCAATGCAAATGGTTGAACTTTATGTTGTATATTAAGGCTGACTTAAAAGTGGGCGCAATTATGGAGATGTAATAGAGTGACTGGTTCCATCTAGCTCAGGTGTGGTAAAAACACGTCAAGGCCCCCTAATTTCCTACATTTTGTGAATTGTTCGGATGTTACATTGCTCATGTGATGATTAAAAACAAGCACTTTGTTTGAGCTATCATTGCAAAAGAAAAAACCTAATCTTTAGGTGTAACACTGGAACTATATGCGCTCATTGCTTTTCCATATCCCCGGGTATCATGTCATTATCATACAAAATCCACAACTCTGCTCCAACCACCGTCTTGCCCTGCTCTCCTGAACTCGACACCCTCGCCAAAGTAGCCCGCATCCTGCCATGCTACCATCGTTTGACCATCAAACGGGCCTTGCTTAGCAGCACCGTCACGACCATCGGTCCATCTATATTCCCACATTTTGGGCGCCTTCGAGCTATGCTCTTCATCCATAGCTACCTCTCCCGGTGGTTCTACCCAGTCTTCTCCAGTCTCTCTCCCATATTGTCGGATAAGCATTTCTCTCTCCTGCTCATAAACATCCGTTTGCCCTCTTATAAGTAGTTGATCGGCGGCTCCCGTAATAGCATTAATGGCCTCTCGTATCCTGATCTGTTCTGGATCTTCGGCCTTTCCAGCATCGACATCCATAGAATCATCCTTCTGCTGTTGCTTTTTCAATTTCCATTTCGGTATTTTCTTCGTTTTCGCTTGGCCCTTGCCAAGTCTAGCGAGTGCCTCGAGAACTGTTTCGCTCTTCTCTAGTTGTAGTATTAATGTTCGTAAAATATCTGACAGTAACATGGCATCATCCTCCAGCCTTTTTTGCCGTCGCTCTTCCTCTCGTTTTTCGTGTGCTTCTGCAGCTTTCTTCATCTCCTTCTTACTAATTCCTTCCAGCCAACTGTCGTGCACTGCATCTCGATCTGCCGCATTTCGCACAAAGTTGCCATTCGCATCAAATTTACCTTCTTCCTGTTCAGCTTTCATGTTGAACGCATCAACTTTGGGAGCATTCCTCTTCAGTCCACCAGCGCCAACCTCCTCATCCACACCTTCTTCTTGCGCGGCTAATACAGCATCTTCCTCATCATCACTGCTTTCTTGGTCGTCCATTGCATGTGTCGACAACTTCCCTTTCGGATCCAATGTGAAATTCCCCGATACATGACCCCCGCTCTTGCTGCCTAAAACCTGGCCCTCAATCTCATCTTCCTTCAAGAACCGTACTTCTTTCTGTTTCTTCCGAGCCCTTAGCTCACTCTCGTCCTCATTGACGTTTCCAAATTCATCTTCCAAGTCTGCAAACATGTCTGCATCTTCCTCTATATCCGTCTTCCCGTTCGCACCACCAGAATTTTCCTTGTTATATCCATCTAGCGCTTCTGCCAAATTTGCATCACCCTTCTTTCCTCTAGCTCTTTCGTCCGCGCGCGCATCAAAGCCCTCATTGTCAGAATCTGAATCATAACCATCGATATTGACAGCCCCTCTCTTAGTACCCGTTCCTCGACTCCCGATAACATCTGCGTCCAGGACGGCATCCTCCTCGGGTTCATCAGCTACCAAAGCAGATGGATTTCTCAAGTCAAATTTTGGTTTTTTTGAAGGGCCATCCTCATTTTCATTACGATGTGAGCGGGCAAATTCCTCGCCTGCACGTTTCGGTCGTGCAGCTGCATATCTAGAGGACATATTTTGTGATTCAGCAATATCGTTGGGATTTGGAAGCTTCGAGACTTTTAGAATAGAAAAAAATATGAATGGATAAATAGCTAATCCAGTACGAGTAGATTTTAAATATCAGTACTCAAGTAGCTCGATGGACAATTTTGGTAAGCTTTAAGGTGTCGGAGCTAAGGATCCCCCGCCATTGAAAGCAAGCGAGAAGCGAGAGAGCTGGTTCCTGCGTCATCTTTTGGTGGCCTTTGAACTACGACTTAGCTATCTTACCTACCCAAGATATTTTACTCCCGAATTACCTACTCTTAACAACTACATCTATCAACTACACATATCCAGACTAACAGTCTAATTGTGATTTCTCAACAACATTTGACTTTCGACTCTCTTGTCATACTCATACCGAACTTTACTCATCCTACTCATCCTAGTGATCCTCCTCATCCTACTCACCCTACTCACCCTACTCACCATACACAGCAGATCTTGCGTTATTTGCAAACAAAATGGTATGTGAAAAGGTGCGCAAGTACTTGAGTTTTTCAAAATACTGATCGCTTCTCCCATCAATAGTCGTACTCGGGTTTTTACGAAGGGGACGATCCAGCTGCGATGTATCAAATGTTACAGCAGCGGGGAATGCGAGGACCTCCGAAACGTTTCGATGAATACTATCGATGTTATCCAACTGTCATGATACCAGGCCCAGAGCGAGAGAATCTCAATTATGGAGGGAAGATCATCATGCCACCATCTGCTCTAGAGAAACTCACTCGATTGCACATTACCTATCCCATGCTCTTTGAGCTCATTAATAGTCAACATCCTGACGGACCGAAATTAACACATGCTGGTGTATTGGAGTTTATCGCGGATGAAGGGAAAGTCTACCTGCCGCACTGGGTACGCTTTTTTTTTTGGCTTACCAAGTAGTTTAATTTCCAACTAACAACCCAACTCCAGATGATGCAAACTCTCGGACTTGAGACTGGAGATCTCTTTCAAATCAAATCGACCGACCTCCCTCCTGCATCGCTTATCAAACTTCAACCACAATCTGTTAATTTCCTCGATATCTCCAACCCTAAAGCCGTACTCGAAAAAGCCTTTCGCGATTTTTCTACACTTACTAAGGGCGATATCTTTAGCTTCTACTATAATGATACTGTCTACGATGTTGCTGTGCTGGAAGTCAAACCAGTCACTGATAAGATGGGGGTCAGTATGCTCGAAACAGATGTTTCCGTCGACTTTGCAGCTCCGTTAGGCTATGTCGAGCCAACACCGATGAGAGCCAGTAGCAGCGGAACGAGCACCCCGAGAAGTGTCATGGGCGGCTTACCTGCAGGTGGCATGCTCCATAGTCAAGGAACCATGGCACAAGCCATCAACTACGATGCCATTGCGCCGACCTCTAATTCTGTCGCACAAGGTGCAAAAGCCGCCTCGTCCAATTTTGTATCCGGAGGTCACAAACTAAATGCGAAGAAGGGCGCAAAAACGCCTACACCCACTGCCTCAACTCCTGTTGCTGGAGTTAGCACGAATACACAAGCTGTATCAGCTCGAAAAACAAATGGTCCTCAGCCGCTTCGATTGCCACCGAATAAACTCTTCTTTGGTTACGAAGTCAAGCCAGTCAAAACGCAAGCAGATAAGGACAAAGAGAATGCAGATGCTAGACAGCCCCATTTTTCGGGACAAGGACAGGCATTGAAGTCTGGCAAGAAGGTCGAGGCGAAGAAGGAACCTGCTCCAGAATCTCACGCCAAAGGCGATAGTGTTGGACGGCGGTTAGATGGGCAAGGTGCCAAGAAGTAGTGTGATTGGACTAGATGGCTCATGATGTGTACGATGGCGTTCGGAGGTGGGCAACGTCCCTGGCGTTTGTTGGTTTGGCGAATACGGGTGCGTGGGAAATAGAACTTCTCATGCTGTAAATCCATGCAGTAAAAGAAACTTGAATACTGAAACTGCCGGTAAATTATGGAAATCCGTGAAACGATCTTTCATGTGGTCAACAAGTACTGGAGGTTCTTTTAAGTGACCAGCATTAGCCAAGGCTATCTGGGGAAGATTTCCCGTTCCCTATGCCATAGCTATGCTTTTTGCCTCAAATAAATCACTACCTTCTTCTTCTCCCATACCTAGAATCATTTGGAGGCTTCTATGGTGGACACAAGACATGTCTGGGGTGTTATTATTGCCTAGCGGCTTTCAATTATGTATTCAATTTCACTGTTAGACGTAAAATCGATGGTGTAAGTCATCTGTCTCTTCCTTCCTCATTTAAGGAGACAGTCATTTGCAAGTCGCCTACGCTCCTTCTACAAGCACTTCAACGTAAGCAAATGCTAAATCTCTTCTTGGTCTTCTTCTTTGGCTGCGGAAATGCTGTATCGTTATTCAATGCAACATCATTCAACTTTCGTGTGTGTATAGAGTTCTCTTGTCGTTGGATACCATTACTTACACGGATTTATCACTACGCATTTACCATAAAAGCCGCTTTTAAGCAATGCTTGCTTGAAACCTACCATCACTTGAATTTTTGGCTAGCCATAAGTTATTAGCATCAGTTTGCTATCAATTTTAACCTACGGATAGATATAGGTAAGCATCTATTCAATCATACATTCATTTCCCTCACTATGTAGATCAAAAAAAGTAAATATTCATAACTGGCAGGCAAGGGGAATCCTAACAGTCTCCATTCTCATGTTTAGGCACGGGAGAAAGAGTTACGCCGCTCACAAGAGCAATTCCACTGCTAGTTCAATCTATCAATATTTGTTGCTAGAGCTCAGCCATATCCACAATGAAAGCCTTGCGTGGTAGAAACCAAAGATATTCTTCCCAAGAGGATGCCTATCTCTTCAATTACAGGGAATGGCGCAATGAAAAAGTGTCGGAATCATGGGCTCAGTTTCTTGCTAGGTTCGAAAAGAAATTCTGGGTCAATCCCCGCAGTTCAGCGTCCCTGTTTCGTAGGGCTGGGAGACTTTCTGGTCGCCGCCACCAGACATTGTCCCGGAATGGAGAAATGATGTGCCATATGCTTAAGATCCGCAAATCCAGCCTCTGGTGGACCTGGGGAAGGATTGGCCAGGCATTTGGTACCAATGCGAGGACAGCTTCTGGGGCATATAAAAGTTTTTTGCAGAGAAACGGGATTGATGAAGTTCAAGATGAATCTGGTCGCATAATATGGACGAGATCGAATAGAAGAAAACTTAGTAGGGCACATCATCTCGGTCACTCATGGGAACAAATCGCCAAGCAGTTCGGTTACGAGGAGTACATATGCATAGCAGCGCATTACATACACTCTTACGGAGAAGGCAAGTCGGGCAACTTGAATGCATCTTTTCATCCAAAGTATTTCTTTTCTACAATAGAGAGAACCAGTATTTATCATAAGCAAAACTTTTCCAGCACACGGGAGATTAAGGACGAGAGTAGAGATTGTCAATGGGAGGAGAATATTATGGCACAATACCGGAGGGAACAATCGCTACTTAAATGTGATGCGGAAGAAGACGGAGCATCTGTAAGTGGTAATTCACAATTATTCTTCGGCGCTGAAGAGCCTTTGAAGCGCCAGTTGACGTTTGGACTGGAACATTAATGGAGTATGATTCAATGAGAACGACACAGCAATCTCGTGACAGAGGTGTAGTTGCAGCACCGGTGACACTTCGAGGTGATGTTCGTGCATACACGTGTATACACGTGTATAAGAACAACAACACCAGTATCCGGTAGAGGAGTTACCGGGATGAGAATTAATGGTGCTCGGACCTTGTCCAGAGCTGATACTCGACCATTCGGAAAAGCTCACTGAGCTGAGCTCATCCAAGTTCCGGCCCCAACAGTTCTTGAAAGCAGCCAATGTTTCAAGCGTGGTTTGCAATTTTAATACAAACGAGGTTTACTGCCGTTCAAAGCGAAGTCGAGAGCTTTCCATAATCAATAGAGGACAATAATCTCGAGCTCATGTCTGTTGGAGACTAGATGGTCCAGATTTGGAATGGTGTCTTTGGAGTGCATTCTCTTTCCTTGGGCTTTTCATTTTGGGGGCGCGCTTCTTAAGACGGACATGAGGCTGTTTTTTAATAATATTGTTAGAGGGGCGTGTACTATCTTTGGAGTGGGTGGGTTTGTCGGCATATTGAAGCATCAGTGAGAAACAAACGATTCGAAAATGAACCATCATTTATTTGCATTGTTAATATCTCAGAATAAAGCATACGTTCGTTCAAGTCCATAAGCAGCCATTCCGATTCCAGACCAGGCAAGCCTTCTACACTCCTGCTCTTCAACTTTTAATGAAGCTCTACTTCATGAAAGATTCATAAGGAGCACCTACAAAAGATTCCTCCCTCTTAAATATGACGCTACCTCGATCCTCAACGGTACCATGAATATTATTAAATCCACCCATAATCTGATTCGAAGGATCGAAACAATATCTCATGTCGTCTCGACGACCAGCCTCCATGGACTCCTTGTTCTCCATCTGTTTGTATAGAGGTGGACCAAATAACGAGGTACCCATCATGCGATTGTTAAGGTTAGCAGGGCTGCTAATAGAACTGTTTATACTAATAACGCCGGTGTTAGAAAATGTGGGAGTGTTAGGTGATGTAGGCGAATCCATAAGGGAAGGAGTTGGAAGACGAGAGGACTCTGACGGGGCAATTGGGAATGGGAGAAAGAGGTTGGACTCTGTCTTCATTTTGAAGTGGAGAGTAGGGGGGTTGGTGGGCTGGAGGTTCGTGATTTCAAGCGTGGAGAGCGGGTTGTTGCGGTCCATCTCCATGGCTCTCATGCTCGTAGAAGGACAGGTATGATCGTTTTGGGATTCAGATTTTGTGACAAAGGGTTTCACGTCTTAGTGACTGTCTTTACGATTTTTCAACTTGAGCCCTTGTTTTGCTGGTTTTTTCTTCTCAACCCTTGAGCGTCGAGGAGTTGCATTTTTTCTAGGACCAGTTGGCATTGAAGTCGTGCCGTCCATTTGTTTCTTGAAACGAGAGTAGCGCATTCGAGCAGCATGACCATTGGTGATCTCTTGGGGAAAAATAGGATCGTGTGCTACTTTGTTCCAATCAATCTGTGAGGTCAGTCTTGATACTTTACAGTCGATGAAGAAGGTGACTTGCATCTTTGAGACATTTCTGGCTGAGTATTGCTACAGCAAGTGGTTGATAGCTCCGTCATTAGTCATTGTTTGATTCGTTCTGGAACTAGCCAGCTTAAAGACCGCGGGCTACCCGTCGTGGTTTTGTAGCTCCGGTGTATTTAAAGGAGGGGAAAGAGGATAATTCGAAGGGGTGGAGGGCCTTCCTAGGTTGTGCGGGGCACCAACAACACCCCTGGCGATCCAGCAAAAGCGCAAATGGATCCAAGGTGGAAAGTTACAGAAGTTACAGAAGTTACAGAAGTTACAGAAGTTACAGAAGTTACAGAAGTTACAGAAGTTACAGAAGTTACAGGGGAGCACTTAATGAACAATGTTGGAGATTTTGAAGGGGAGATGTGAAATATGGTGAGGGGAAGCAATAGAAACACCGTAGATAAATTTTGCTCAAAATAAGGTAGTAAAACGCGTCTCCACAAACCTGAATTTATTAAAAGGGAATAGAAAATAGGAGTTTTGATTCCCTTGAAATCCCCGAGCCCGTTTTTGTTTATGATTATCTGCAGCATAATGAATGTGATAATCGCTCGAGTCTCTTTTCAATCTCTTCTATAGAAGCGGGATGAGATATTATAGCTTTTCTTTTGTTCGTTCATTTGTTTGTTTGTTTATTATATATGAAATAAATAAAATAAATAATAATAATAAATATTTTAATAATTAATAATATATTATTATTTAAATATAATATATATAAAAATTTATTATTTTATTTTTATAATATAAATTATATTATTTTTTATATATGGTTTCAAATCAAATATAACAACTTTACAAACTTTGAAAATTCCTATTATATTTATTATTTATACTCTTTCTTATATCACTTTATTTATTTTGAGATTCACTGACCTCATCTTGTTTCTATCTCCCATCCACCTTCCTCGCAAACTACAACAATTCGAACAATCTACAGACTCAAATTACAATATCTAACTTCTTACATTTCTCACATTCTTACATTTACTTATCAAATCATGCCTTCTCAGTGGGACCATACGGCTGACAAGGATTTGTTGTTGGCTATCATTGAAGGGAACAATTTAAAGACCATTGAATGGCCTGCGATTTCTGAAAGACTTCAGAAGAAAGGTTATTCCTTCACCAAGGAGGCTTGCCGGTGCGTACAAGACTTTCATTTTCTGGAATCCATTTCTTTGCCTCTTCTTCTCAGTCCTTATATATTCCTTTGGAAATATCAACCTCCTTGGTCTTCATATTGCCTTTGATGATCGTCTCCAATAAAGAGGTGGTTTTTCAAGATTGAGATCTAAGTAATTATTTTTCTGGTATACACTACAATAAATCAGTATTTTTCATTCTTCTCTCTGATGTAATATTATCATTCGCCAGTCGCTGTCGCATTTTCCCAGGTCGTTAGAATTACAATCATTACCTTCCTCATGTCTTAATCATCACCGCTATCAAAGCTTGCTTGCTCGACAACTAAGTGAACAATATACAGACAACACTTCCAGAAAATCAAAAAAGAATCTCGCACCGGCTCACCTTCCGCGTCCACCAGTACCACTCCTGCCGCCACTCCTGCCAAGAAACGTAAAGCCAAGGCCTCTTCTTACGAGGACGAGGCTGAAAACGATGACGATGAAACGCCCACGAAGATACCATCCAAACGTGTCAAGAAGGAAAATGGTAATCAAACAGCTACTCAAGTCGGAGTCGAGGTTGAGGAATAGGTGTGTTCAATGACAATCAGTATGTACTATATGCCTCCATCAGTTGGCGTAGGCGACAGACCGTTGCGTGGCAAAAAGAGGAACATGATACTGATGATTAAGTAGCCAACGATGGCTAGCGTTGGGCGCATTTTCTTGCTCCACTGATTATTAAATGCTGATCGGAGTGGAGGCCATTGGTGTGTACAGATTTGACACTGAGAACGAGCACCATGGTGGAGGCGAATACTGGTCTAGCATCAGCTCACTTGGTTCCAATTAGTTGAGACTTCCTTGCATTGACGAAAGACGTTGAAGGGGGCACTCTTTCGGCAAATCATATTTATTTCCCCAATATGGCAGTACACAACGATCTCATCACTCCTTTGTGTCGTAAATTCTTTGCCATAACAATATAATTCCAGCATCTTGTAGGACTCTGTTTCCATCTCTTTCTGAATGATGAAGGTGTCCGCTTCAGTGACCACAAATGCTTAGTTGCCTCGTCTTCGCCTAGCCTTCTCCAAATTCTGCCTCAAGTAGTTGAAAAATGACGTCTCACATCGACACACATCATGTAGTTGCGGCCTATCCTTGCTAAACAACCTCTGGCCGCAAATCACTCTGTGCAATACTTCAAAACGGCTTCCACGTTGCTCGGCTGGATTCAATAGTAAGACTTACTACTACACAGTGCCTCGTATTTTGAGCATTAAATGACACTTCCTCGTTATACCGCTTGCTCAAAGATACTTGAGAGCATTCTCTGCTATTTTTCATGCAACATTCGACTCCTATCGAATTGATGTCTATGCATTCCTCTTTGAAAAGGGCCGGGGGCTTAGCGAAGTATATTTCTACATCAACAATCATGCATTTCAAAAACTTTTATAAATTCAATGAAAAATTATATATATTTCAAATTTCAAAAATTTAATATCTTAGACTTTTCAATTGTTATATATGAAAATGTGCTTTGAAAATCTAAAATATATTAAAATTTGAATTTTTAAAATATTATAATTTTGATTCAATAATTTTAGCTTAATAAAAAGACAAAAAATATTTTATTAATGCTTAATTATTAATTAAATGAACATTAATATTCATTTCAAATATCAGATTAAAATATTGAAGAATTGAATTAATATATTTTTTTCAAACAGTTGACTTTTGATAATAAGAATTACCAGGGGCCTGCGCCCCCCGGACCCCTGGTTTTTCGAGAAAGTTTAATGAAAATTTAAGTTTTAAAAAATTTATAATAAATTTAAATATTGAATATATATCAGGGTGCAGGCAGAATATCGACTTGTTTTTGATAATTGAAAGTTAAAATATTTTATTTAAAAATAATAATTATAATATTTATAATAATAATAATAATTTATATTATTTATATTATTTATAATGTTATTTATAATATTAATTAATATTATTATTACTATTATTATTATTATTATAAGTCGAATAAGTTAAATTGGATAAATTAAATAAATAGAGATGAATTGAAGGAATAGAGTTGAATTGAATGATTTCAGAGTTGAATGATTTTAATAAAGTTGAATAATTCTAATAGAGTTGAATGATTTCAATTGAGTTGAGTTGAAAAAAGCTTTAAACCAGATTGTTCTAAGGTTGTAAGGCTTATATCAAGCTTTTCGTTCGATTATTTACCAGGGTATTTTAGACCAATCAGATTATCAGGATCGCGACTCACTTAAACGAGTTTCTTATTTTCTATCACCCATCGGGTAAAACTCGTATACAACAAGGTTATAGTGTCGACATGCCGACAATTAAAAAATCTTAATATATTAAAGAAATAAGTTTATTTAAAAAAGTTTGAGAGAAGTTATATATCAAACGAAAAAAAAAATTTAGTTATATAATATATATAATTATTTCCAAAACCTATATATTAGAAGATTATAATAATTTGTAATCTCAATTATAAAAGAGATATTTAAAAAATATAATATAAGTAATTAAAGAATTAAAAAGAGATCTGAATTTATAAAAGAATATATTTTTAAAAAGCTAATTTAATGTTTAATTTATAAGGGAGTAACAACAAAAGAATAGAAATTAATTTTCTGATTGGATGAGTACTTTGTAAAGCAGGGAAGGGGCAAAAAACAAAAATAGATTTTCTGTTTTCTTATTTAAAAATTGTTACAGATCTCAAACTATAAAAACGATCATGTGATTCCTTTACTTATTAATAAGTTAATAATCTATATATCTGGGATCTAATTTATTCATTTTAGTATAGGAATATAGTAATCTTAGAATTGAATATATATAATTATATAGTTATTATATAGATATTTTGTGTATATATATATATATAAAATTTATAAGTTATAATTCTTCAATTGTAAATTTTAAGGAATATAATTGATTTTATTTCTTTAATTCTTATATATTATATTATTTATTATTTATTTATATAATCTAATTATCTGATAGCCTTTTAAAAAAATATCGTAATTTAATAATACTTTTTTAGATAAACTTTTTCGAACATTTTATTTAAAAGAAAAAGATCTATTTCGATATAATTGATAAAGATAACCCTCCTTTTCAAAATCTATCAATATCTTTATTATATATCGAATCCCTTCTTTTATATAATCTAATCAATCTTTACAAATCTATTTTGAGAAACTTCTTTACTTTTCTTAATTATTATAATCAGTTTTCGAAGAAAATATAAAAGATACAAAATTGAATAATGTTATCATTAATCAAAGAAAGATCGATAAAAGAAAATATCAATATATATAATTAAAGTTTTTAATATTTCAATCGATAATTCTAATCTTTTATTATAATTACAAGATTGTATTCGATGATTTTGAAATTATAATAGTTTTTATAAAACCAAAAGAAAACTATAATAATAATAAATTTTATGATAATATAATCTTTTTTCAAACTTTAAATAATATTTACAAAAACATTCAAATCAATAATAATATCTAGAACTCCTTTTATTCTCTTGATTGAATACAACAAAACCTTGTTTAAACAGATTAAACAATTACAAAACCAATCGAAAAATCAATGGATTATTCGATATAATAAATTAGATCCTTCAAATAATTCTCCTTTCGTTTTTGAAAATGAAGATCTATATAAAAACCAGGATCCTTATTCTTCAAAAAATCGATTTAATCAATTCGGATTGTATTTATATATTATTAATCATTCGAATCGAAATTCTTACACTTCAAAACCTATTAATCTGATTATCAAATCCAGCGATAATATCAAATCTAAAGCTAATTTATAACAATTATTAATCCAAAAATAATTCAAACTATATACTATATTATTACAAACGAAATTCAAATATATATATATATAATCAATTAAATAAAATCGAAAATACAAATATATTGTTATATTTTTTATATCTAAATACTCTGATTTATTATTCTCAAATTGATTAAACAATCTATTACGATTTACTAAAACCCGATCAAAATTGATTATATTTATATACAATATAAATTATAAATTATATTTAATTGTCGGCTTGCCGACACTATAACCTTACTATATTATATATAAGGTTTACCCGATAAATGATGGAAAATAAGAAACTTGCTTAATAAAATCGCAATCCTGATAATCTAATTGGTCTAAAATACCCCAGTAAATAATCTAACAAAAAGCTTAGTATAAGCCTTATAATTTCAGACAAATCTAACTTGAAGCTTTTTTCAACTCAACTCAATTGAAATCATTCAATTCATCTTACTCAACTCAAAATAATAATAATAATAATATTAGATAATATAAAATATTATAACTATTATAATTCTTATTTTAAATTAAAAAAATTTAATTTTCAATTATCAAAAACAAGCTGATATTCTACCTGCACTCTGATATATATTCAATATTTAAATTTATTATAAACTTTTTAAAACTTAAATTTTCATTAGACTTTCTCGAAAAGTCAGGGGTCTGGAGGGTGCAGGCCTCTGATATAAATACAAAATTATATTTTTCAAATTAATAAATAGATTTATAATTTATCAATATTATATAAACAATATTCTTTTTGATGATTCAATATAAAATATTAGATATTATATCTTTAAATAAATCTTTTAAAAATAAATAATAATTACAAAACATTATTTCTATTCAATATATTTTCAATTTTATTAAAATTTATAAAAATAATAAACTTTATAAAAGATATAATAATAATTTTGATTACAAATTATTTATATTCGAAGGATATTATATATAGATTGATATTGTCGAATAATTATATCCCCAAATCTTTTTTATTATATCAAAAGAAAATATATTTGATTTTTACAATACAAATATTATATAATTGTTATTTATATTTTAAAGGTTATATTTTATAATAATTAATAACTTTGAAAAAACGAAATATAAACAAAATATTATAGCAAAATAAAATGATCTTATACTTTTAATAATTCAAATTAAATATTCTAATAAGAATTTACAGAATTGTTTATAGATATTATTAATAAAATTATATTTATTGTAATACAATTTGTTTTAGAAAATAAAAAAATCTAAAACCTTATTAAACAAAATCATTTCGTTATATAATATAATCTCAATTTATTCAACAATAATATACAATCCAAAAAATAATATTATTATATTTATTAACCAATTAAAACAATCAATTAATATATAAAAAAAGATATATCTATCAAACCCTAGATACTATAATAATTCTTAATAACGATATTGTAATCATTTTCGAAACAAATTTAATAATATTAATAAGTACTTCGATAAAAAATACTAGATCAAGAATTATAAAAAAACCAAGTTATAAATTACATAAATACAACAAAAAGAATCAAAATATAAATATCAAAAGAAATTCAAAAACAAAATAATAACAATTTCAAAAAAAGTATTATCAACAGTTCTTCATCGATTTCGAAGAAGAGTCAAATAAATACAATTCAAAAAATTAAACTATTAAAAACTATTTTATCAATTTTGATCTATAAAATAATAAAGAAAAAAATAGAAATTACTTTATATTTTTTTAACTAATTAATAAAAAGAAATTCTGCAATTATTAATCAATAAATTGCTTTTTTATATATTTACAAAAAATATCAAGATTTTTATTATTAATATATAATATAATAATAAAGAATTTTATAATATTATAATAGATTTAAAAGTAACAAAATATTTAATAATTAGATACAATCAGTATCAAGTATAATATAAGATTGAAAACATTCTAATAAATATAACAACAATTAAACAAATAATTATTCAATTCGATATTGGAATAATTGTTCTTATTGATTCAATCTATATTTATCTACCTTTTGATATTATCGAATTCAATATTGTATATATAAATATATCATTTTTATTCTATTTAACAGATATAGATCGATTCAAATATTATTACAATAATATTATTGATAAATTTATAATATCCATTTACATTTTTATTATTTTTAAATAATTTAATTATATATTTTTATTATAGAAAATTCATTTATAATATACAATTCAGAATTCAATCGAAATCAATCTTATTAAAATAGATCTTTATTAATTATATCAATATTTTAAGTATTCTTTTATATATAAATTATATCAAATATTATATTATATTGATTATAAAGAAAATAAAAAGATAATTGGTTTATTTACATAGTATTATAAATATTATCAATTATATAGAAAATCATCTAGAAGATTCAAATTCATTTTTCTTGAAAATATCGAATTCAATTA